TTGGCGGTCGAAAACCAGAAAGGCTTTTTTATCACAGGACAGAAATCAGCCCTAAACCGCCAAACCTCTCAGGGAATTTGCAACCGTTTGGCACCATTTTTGAGTAAATTGCCGAAAGTCAGATTTTTGCTGAAATTGTGACCCCGGGCTTAGGGATTTTTTCAAAAAAATCTTTTTCTGCCCGGTGAAGTTGTTTAGGGGGCTGATTTCTTTTCCTGTGATAAAAAGCCTTCTGTTTCTACCGCAAACCTCTCAGGGAACATTTGCAAACGTTTGGCACCATTTTGAGATAAATTGCGAAAGTCGATTTTTGCTGAAATTGTGACCCGGGGCTTAGGGATTTTTTCAAAAAAATTTTTTCTGCCGGTGAAGTTGTTAGGGGCTGATTTCTTGTCCTGTGATAAAAAGCCTTCTGTTTCGACCGGCAAACCTCTCAGGGGAACATTTGCAACCGTTTGGCACCATTTTTGAGTAATTGCCGAAAGTCAGATTTTTTGCTGAAATTGTGACCCCGGGGCTTAGGGGATTTTTTCAAAAAAATCTTTTTCTGCCGGTGAAGTTGTTGAGGGCTGATTTTCTTGTCCTGTGATAAAAAGCCTTCTGTTTCGACCCGCCAAACCTCTCAGGGGAGCATTTGCAACCGTTTTGGCAACCATTTTTGAGTAAATTGCCGAAAGTCAGATTTTTGCTGAAATTGTGACCCCGGGGCTTAGGGATTTTTTCAAAAAAAATCTTTTTCTGCCGGTGAAGTTGTTGAGGGCTGATTTCTTGTCCTGTGATAAAAAGCCTTCTGTTTCGACCGCCAAAACCTCTCAGGGGAAGCATTTGCAACCGTTTGGCACCATTTTTGAGTAATTGCCGAAAGTCAGATTTTTGCTGAAATTGTGACCCCGGGGCTTAGGGATTTTTTCAAAAAAATCTTTTTTCTGCCCGGTAACGTTGTCGAGGGCTGATTTTTGTCCTGTGATAAAAAGCCTTCTGTTTCGACCGGCAAACCTCTCAGGGAGAACATTTGCACCGTTTGGCACCATTTTTGAGTAAATTGCCGAAAGTCAGATTTTTGCTGAAATTGTGACCCCGGGGCTTAGAGATTTTTTCAAAAAAATCTTTTTCTGCCGGAAACGTTGTTGAAGGGCTTGATTTCTTGTCCTGTGATAAAAAGCCTTCTGTTTCGACCGCAAACGTCTCAGGGGAGCATTTGCAACTGATTTTGGCACCATTTTTGAGTGAATTGCGAAAGTCAGATTTTTGCTGAAATTGTGACCCCGGGCTTAGTGATTTTTTCAAAAAATCTTTTTCTGCCGGAGACGTTGTTGAAGGCTGATTTCTTGTCCTGTGATAAAAGCCTTCTGTTTCGACGCCAACGTCTCAGGGGAGCATTTGCAACTATTGGCACCATTTTTGAGTGAATTGCCGAAAGTCAGATTTTTGCTGAAATTGTGATCCCGGGGCTTAGGGATTTATTCAAAAAAATCTTTTTCTGCCGGTGACGTTGTTTAGGGCTGATTTCTTGTCGTATGGTAAAAAGCCTTCTCTTTCGACCGCCAAACCTCTCAGGGGAACATTTGCAACCGTTTGGCACCATTTTTGAGTAAATTGCCGAAAGTCAGATTTTTGCTGAAATTGTGACCCCAGGGCTTAGGGATTTTTTCAAAAAAATCTTTTTCTGCCGGTGAGGTTGTTGAGGGCTGATTTCTTGTCCTGTGATAAAAAGCCTTCTGTTTCGACCGCCAAACCTCTCAGGGGAACATTTGCAACCGTTTGGCACCATTTTTGAGTAAATTGCCAGTGACGTTGTTTAGGGCTGATTTCTTGTCCTACGGTAAAAAGCCCTTCTGTTTCGACCCGCCAAACCTCTCAGGGGAACATTTGCAACCGTTTGGCTCCATATTTGAATGAATTGTCAAAAGTCGGATTTTTGATGAAATTGTGGACCCCCGGGGCTTAGGGATTTTTTCAAAAAAATCTTTTTCCTGCCAGTGACGTTGTTTAGGGCTGATTTCTTGTCCTGTGGTAAAAAGCCTTCTGTTTCGACCGCCAAACCTCTCAGGGGAGCATTTGCAACCGTTTGGCAACCATTTTTGAGTGAATGGCCAAAAGTCAAAATTTTGATGAAATTGTGACCCCGGGGCTTAGGGATTTTTTCAAAAAAATCTGTTTCTGCCGGTGAAGTTGTTTAGGGCTGATTTCTTGTCCTTTGATAAAAAGCCTTCTGTTTCGACCGCCAAACCTCTCAGGGGAACATTTGCCAACGTTTGGCACCATTTTTGAGGAAATTGCCGAAAGTCAGATTTTTACTGAAATTGGTGACCCCGGGGCTTAGAGATTTTTTCAAAAAAAATCTTTTTCTCCGGTTAACTTGTCGAGGGCTGATTTTTTGTCCCTATGATAAAAAGCCTTCTGTTTCGACCGGCAAACCTTTCAGGGGAGCATTTACAACCATTTGGCACCATTTTTGAGTGAATTGCCGAAAGTCAGATTTGTGCTGAAATAGTGACCCCGGGGTTTAGGGATTTTTTCAAAAAGATCTTTTTCTGCCAGTGAAGTTGTTTAGGGCTGATTTCTTGTCCTGTGATAAAAAGCCTTCTGTTTCGACCGCCAAACCTCTCAGTTGAACATTTGCAACCGTTTGGCACCATTTTTGTGTAAATTGCCGAAAGTCAGATTTTTGCTGAAATTGTGACCCCGGGGCTTAGGGATTTTTTCAAAAAAATCTTTTTCTGCCGCTTAAGTTGTTTAGGGCTGATTTCCTGTCCTGGTGGTAAAAAGTCTTCTGTTTCGACCGCCAAACCTCTCAGGGGAACATTTGCAACCGTTTGGCACCATTTTTGAGTAAATTGCCGAAAGTCAGATTTGTGCTGAAATAGTGACCCCGGGGCTTAGGGATTTTTTGAAAGAAACTCAACAGTGTAAATAAGTTTTGATGGATGTAATAATGGAATACTGAATGGTATTGTTTCTGTAAAATATGCAGGTAAAGTAAAATGTACCATGGAAAGAGAAGAAGGGAAGTCACTGATACTTTAAAGATGTAAAATGAGTACTTTACATTGTAAACGGAAAAATTAATAAAAATTATAGACAGATAAAAAAATAAACAAGCAAAAATGCCCCCAGCAGCATAAATCAACATGAAACAGCATAAAACCCAAAGGGGTGAGGAATATAAAAAGTACTAAAAATATGCAAATATTGTGCAAAGGCCTGTAAGAATAAAAAGTGTTTACCTGGTGGTAGGTTATAATGCTAGTATCTTTGAGGGCATTGCAGTGGGTTGCTATTAACCCAAAAGGTTCCCCCACCTCACTTCATTGGGTGGGGGAACATGCAGAACATCACAAGATCTTAGGGGCCAAGCTTGAGCGGTATTTATGGGGAAAGACAGTCCTTTAAGATAACTGGCGCAAAATTATTTGGGGCTTTGAAGGTTAACGGCAGCACTTTGAATTGGACACAGACCGGAAGTCCTCGCAGACGACAAAAATGTGTGCTGGCGTCCTCTGAACCAGCTGACGGTCCTGGGTTGTTTTCAAAGGATGGCACATTGCACTCATCAAAACACATTGACTGGGGGAGGTCATTTAAAGGAGGCAAGTAGTGCTTTCAAGTAGTAGCCATCAAAGTTCTCTGTGTTGTTGTTTTTTAAATGACCATAATTAATGAATTATTCCATACAAACTACATAGTGAGGAAAACATGCCTTTGAGGGATTCATCTGATTTAGTCTTCAATTTAAAAAAAGTGGGACAAACAAGTTCACCGCATGTACTTTGTTAAAGGAAAATATAATGAAAATGATGTATAGATGGTATTTGACTCCTGTAAAATTAGCAAGGATATATCATAATTGTGACAATATATGCTGGAAATGTAAAGAAAAGGAAGGAACCTTTTATCATATGTGGTGGACCTGTCCCTAGGTGAAAGACTTCTGGGAAAAGATTTATAATGAATTGACCAAAATGTTGAAATATCACTTTATAAAGAAACCAGAGGCCTTTCTTCTTGGAATAACAGGTTTGGAATTGCCCAAGAAAGATTGTTAAATTATTTTTGTATGCCACAACTGCTGCTTGTATTTTGTTAGCTAAAAAGTGGAAAACCCAAGAATTACCAACAATAGAAGAATGGCAGATGAAGATGATGGAATTTTCGGAGGCTAGCCAACCTAACCGGAAGAGTCTGCGACCAGAAGGAGGAGGAGTATCAGGAAGAATGGAATAAATATAATGATTATTTAGTTAAATTTGTTAAGTTTAAATTAACTGAAAATAGCTTGCAGATGCTTAATGGGCTTAGGATTTTATTTGTTAAGTGATTAATTAATATGTTTAATTCCATAAGGTGAAGATCTAAGGATGCTAATGTTTAAGTTAAATTTCATAGAAATTGGGATTTGGAAAACTGTTAAAAGGACATGCAATGAAATTCAACCAAGGGGATGTGAGGAAGTCACTTAACAAAGTTAATAACTGTAATTTTCAATAAGGTTATGATTTTGTTTGTTTGTCTTGTGTGTTTGTTTGTTTATAATATTGTGAAAACTAATAAATTTTTGAAAGAAAAAAAAAGTGGGACAAAGGTAAACTACTCCATTTTCGCATCTTTCATTTCAGGAGCTAAACAGAGTTAGGGGTTTATAAGCCTTTAGCTCGATTCCTGTGTTATAATAGTATTGAATGTGTAGCCTATGCCATTTCAATTATAGTCTGTCCTCTTTCGCATTTTACTTTTTTTACACAATATGGACATGTATGCATTCCTCTTGGGCCAGCCATTTACTCAGGTAAGCATTCCACAAAGCCAGCATCTTGTTTAAATTCTCTTTATCACATGCGATATTTGCATGCTGGTGAATTCTGAGCCCTACAGAGCTGCTGCTGGCACGCCAACATGGCAGGCATATGGACCAGAACAAGCGATAAGACCATTTAAATGACATGACAGCCGTAGTTTTGGTGGTACAGCGTATGCCTTGCACGCAAAAGGTCTCCATCCCTGGGTGTCCCCAGGCAGGGCTGGGGAAGACTTCGGCCTGAAACCTTGGACAGCCATTTCTTAAGTCAGTGTCAACAATAGATGAATCAATGGTCCAAGTTGGCCTAAGGCAAGCTCCCTCTGTCATATAGGCAAATGCTTCACCAATGGCCAGCATGACTTGAAATTTGGCCACAGAATAGCATGATCAGTTTCCTCATACTGAAAGCTTTGGAAGAGAGTAATGGTAAATTCACACAACACTTTTGGCACGACAGAATGTGGTTAGTGTTTTAGACTTGGATTCAATGTTCAAGGGGTTTGACAGAGCGCCTTTATATGACTGCAGCTTGTGATGAAGAATATTTGTCACTGGTTCAGTATCTCTATCAACATAAAGCAATGTACAGTGGTACCTCAGGTTAAGAACTCAATTTATTCTGGAGGTCTGTTCTTAACCTGAAGCACCACTTTAGCTAATGGGGCCTCCCGCTGCCGCCGGGCGATTTCTGTTCTCATCCTGAAGCAAAGTTCTTAACCTGAGGTAATATTTCTGGATTAGCGGAGTCTGTAACCTGAAGCATATGTAACCTGAAGTGTATGTAACCCGAGGTACCACTGTCCAGGCTAATTGGGTTTGATATTATCAGTGCCTTTAGATAGAATGTGCCAAGTGGCATCAACAGTACAGTGGACACTTGGGTTGCAAACGTGATCCATGCAAGAGGCACGTTCTCAACCCGCAGCGCCACATCTGCGCACGCACGGGTCACAATTTGGCACTTCTGCACATGCGCAAAGAGCAATTTAGCGTTTCTGCGCATGCACGAGCACGGAAACACGGAAGTAACCCATTCCAGTACTTCTGGGTTTGGTGCAGTGCGCAACCCAAAAACACACAACCTGAAGCGTCTGTAACCCAAGGTGTGACTGTAAGTGAGAGACTATGGGAAACATGTCAGCCTGAAGATCTACATTGTTTCCCATTATGTTTCCGAGCACAATTCAAAGTGTTGGTGCTGACCTCAAAAGCCCTAAATGGTTTTGGCCCTGTATACTTGAAGAGGCGTCTCCATCCTCATCATTTAGCCCAGACACTGAGGTTCAGCTCCGAGGGCCTTCTGGCGGTTCCCTCACTGCATGGTTACAAGGAACCAGACAGAGGGTCGTCTTGGCAATGGTGACCTCCCTGCGGAACGCCCTCCCGTCATATGTCAAGGAAATAAACAACTATCTGAAGGCAGCCCTGTATAGGGAAGTTTCTAATGTTTGCCGTTTTATTGGTTTTGGTGTTCTAATTTGCTGGAAGCTGCCCAGAGTGGTTGGAGCAACCCAGTCAGGTGGGCAGCATATAAAAAATAAATTATTGTTGTTATTATCATTATTATTAAGAATAGTAGTAAAGCATGGGAGTTACCTGCCAGATTGCTCAGTGACAAAACAGATGTCAGCTGTTGCACTTTTCTACCTTTTGAATACACAGCTCCAAGTCTAGCTCAGAAAAAGCACCACTGGGTATGTGTCCTACATTTAACGTAGTCTTACATTTTAATATTGTTCACATAATTTCACATGTTCATAGAGTTAAAATACTTTTATGCAACAAGAAAGGCAAATTAAATTTGGAAGCACTGTTATTCTTCAAAAAAAATTGAAAGAAGCTATTAGAAATGATAAATATTTGGCATGAGGGCAGGTTTCTATACTGTATTCTTGAGTTCAGGGAAGTCTTTGGCTGTCTACAAAGCTCAATTTCTGTAGAGCAACGAGAGACAGATTTCCTTACCAGATCGTTGAGGATACATGATATGACAGTATTTTAAAACAAGCACGTGGCCAAGCATAGACTTCTGGGACAGGAAGATACAACTACAAAAAGCAGAAAATACTCCTGAACCAAAATCTGCTGCCTGGGTTGTAAAAAAACTATAACCCTGTCAATACAATACATTAATAAATAATTAAAATGCAAAACAGTTGTATTAAAAAGTGCATTATTTAATAAAAATTGCTCCAATTCAATTATTATTTTTATAGAAAAATATTAAAGCTTCAATATTGCACTGGAATGCTGATTAAAAGGCGTTAGCCCTTACAGCCCATACTGTAAAATTGTACTCCATTGTCTTTCTTGATATTATTGATAGTTGACATTCCATGAATACAATCCCATTTTGCTGCTTGAGTACAGTTTTTCATTAATGTGATGATCTTGAGGTAGAATGTTTTCCTTCATTATTATTTTTCTTCACAGCTTTGCCGCGGACTAAATCATACAGATTCTTCAGCAACAGGAAAAGGCTCCAAAGCTTTCTCCGCATTCTTCCAGTTGTGGAAGTTTTCTTGATACCATTCAACTAGCACAAGAAAAGGAAGATTTCAAAGCATGAATATGTAATAAGCAATCTTACTGTGCTATTCCATGCAGGCTAAAAAAACACACACAAAATCATTAAGTGCAGAGGGTGACAGATTACAGGGTACTAGTTCTAATCAAGACAGTGTATTTTTCAGTTTGAAGAAGGTTTCTGTCTCATGTTTTTTTTGGCAGCACATTTCAAGGATTCAGGAACCAAAAGGCACAAATAAAAAGTTTTGGTTTATGATGTTGAAATGTTGTTAACAGCAGAGTAACAATGCCAGACATTTAGGATTAAGCAGGACATTTGATCGCCCCTAAAGGAAGTCAATTTCATCTCACAGCATATACAGACTTGTTTCTCTGGTTGGAACCAGAGACAAGGTATGTAGAACTCTTCTCTCACAACAAGCCATCCTATTTCCTCTACAGGCTCTTGTGTCTCTTCAGAAGGCCCTCCCACTCCTCAAGGTCCACAGGGTTTTAGCACAAGTTGGTGAAACTCAGGCAATTCTTGCACGAGCAGAGTTGGCTTTTGCTCACACACAGACGGCCCTGAATTCCAGGTTAGCTTGTGAACAAATATTTGTCTTATGGAAGTTTAAGTCGAGGTCTGCAGTCCTTTGCCAAGTTTCCAGAGCAGCCTAGGAACTAAATTGGGCACTTAAGCTAATGGTGGAAACCAGTGCTTTTTTGCGGGGCAGGGGTACACATACCCCTAAACATTTTATAAATCTAAGTGTGGCCTCATAGAGGGGCAGTATTTCAATATGGGTAGGAAAATGAGAGTACCCCTAAACATTTTTTTTAGAAAAAAAAGCACGAACGGCAACCAAGCACATACCACGTCCAAACTTAAATGATGTATGTGAAAAGTGCTTATGTGGTCTAGTCTAACAGTTGCCTGGATGTAGATAATTTTTATTCTCGTATTTTTTACTGCTTCCCCCACACACAGTGCCTACTCTCAAGCTCACAGAAGCAACATTTATTTCCTCTTACCATTGCAGCAATATATTGGAGGTCAAACAGAATCCATTCTAGAAGTCCGTTCGACTTCCAAAACATTTGGAAACCAAAGTGCGGCTTCTGATTGGCTGTAGGAAGCTCCTGCAGCCAATCGGAAGCCGCAGAAGCCCCACCGGACATTCGGCTTCCAAAGGAACGTTCAAAAACCAGAACACTCACTTCCGGGTTTCGATCGTTCGGGAGCCGATTTGTTCGAGAGCCAAGGAGTTTGGGATCCAAGGTACGACTGTATATACAAACAAAAATACAATGGGAGGTTCAAAGCCTTTACTTTAAAAATTCTAGCTTTAGCTAATTCAGTAAACAGCTTACTCTCCAAAGTAACCTATAAAAAAACAGTTTTTTTGAAAACAGTGCTTCCCTATTTTCCTTCCACTCTCATTCCAGATTTAGTATCAATGCAACATACTGGTTTTCTTTATTCCTTCATTCCAAGGCACTTTAGGTCTCCAGCCCAAGCTGTGCATTTTTCCAGAATTCATTGGATATCCCAAGTCATTCGTAGGCCTTTAAATAAATGAGAAGTGTTTTATTCCTATGGAGAACTCAAAGTTTCATATAGCAGGTGTATTAATTGCCTTCAAAGGACATTTAGAAGTTCAGCACTTTATTCCTTTGGATTAATCTTTAGGCTGCCCTTCCTTCTGCTGTTAAACATACATGATTTACACAGAATAGTCTATATTCACAAATATTACGCACATGCACGGCACCAAATAATTTCCAATCTGTGACTCGATTACTGCAATCACAGACCTGAGTGTGAGTAGTCACAGCAAAGATCAGTCATGTAGGGCAGAAAAATATACTACCACTAACCTCAAACATGGGAAATTTATTTGGAATATTATGGATGAATACCAATGAATTTGAGAAGTTGAAAATTGCATTTTCAGGTGACTGTCCCTAGCAGGTGCATAGATATATTCATATACATTCTGATTATGAACACCTTTAGTTTAAATTTATATAACGTGTCACAATTCCAGTCACTAAATGGGGCGTGTGTAAATTAAAACCATGTGGAACACATAACACAAACATGCCAAATCAGATCCCAGTCAATTTATATATATATATTTTTAAAAAAAATAGAAAGGAGTATTACGAACATCCTTAAGCCTCAACACCAACAGCATTTTTCAGGAAATGTATCAAAACGTTGAAATGGAGTTTTGAAAGCCCTTGCATGTTCAAAACTCCATTTCAAAGTTTACTACATATCTGTCCCACTCTTTGTCCAAGGAACTCTCATCATATCCTAACAACTCTAGAAGGTTGCTTAGGCTGACAGAGTCATAAGCTTCATTGTTGAGAAATGATTCAACCTCAAGTAAAAGGTAAAGGACCCTAGACGGTTAGGTCCAGTCAAAAGCTACTATGGGGTTGTGGCGCTCATCTCGCTTCAGGCCAAGGGAGCCAGCATTTGTCCGCAGACAGCTTTCCAGGTCATGTGGCCAGCCTGACTAAACTGCTTCTGGTGCAACAGAACCAGAGCACATGGAAACGCCATTTACCTTCCCACCACAGCGGCACCTATTTATCTACTTGCACTGGCATGCTTTCGAACTGCTAGATTGGCAGGAGCTGGGAAAGACCAAAGGAAGCTCACCCCGTCGCAGGGATTCGAACCGCCAACCTTCCGGTCGGCAAGCCCAAGAGGTTCAGTGGTTTAGACCACAGCGCCACCCGCATCCCTTCAACCTCAAGTATTCTTGATTCAAGACTAATATTTTATCCATTACACCACACCGACGACTTCTAATCTCTCATAAAAGAAAACCACTCTTTCTACAACCCTAAATGTTTTAAGCGAGACCATGAATCACATAGATGCAGATGAAACATTTTATTGGTACAGGTAAAGAAAATGAGATAGATAAGAACAAGTCACATTTAGGACTATTTCAGTAGCTGCATCTAGCAATTAACAACATTCATCATACATAGAGCAGACCTACTGAAATCAGTTAACTTAAGTCCATTAGTTCAATCATTCTGAGCAAATTCAGATGAGGGGATTACTGTGTTAGTTTTTTTTATTATATATAACATTTCTGTCCTGATTTCAAAAGTTCCTTTCACACGGAAGTACTTGTTTCATTCTGGAGTGGCGGCTTTTTGATCGATATATCACCATGTTACACTAAATTGATTGATATATCACGTTACATTAAACTGATATACTACCATGTTACACTAAATTTTAAATGGCAGGAAAGGAGTGCATGCTGGGATACCGCCCCAAAATTTGTCACATGAAATTACAACGCCAGATTCCTGTGGTTTTCCAAGCTAAAAGAGTTGGATACAGAATTTATCTGTAAAGCAATTAATGCTAAATTCAACTAGATTTCCGTTGGGTGAAAGATCAAATGCAATGCAGAAAATAACAGGAAATGCCAGGAAGACCAAAAAATTGCCATGTGACCGCAGACCCAATTGAATATCTCTTGTGATGTTTTTGGTTTTTCAAGGAGAAGCTTCATTATATGAAATCTTTTAACTGAATTGCTTCAAGGAACTATAAAACAGAAATAAAATATTCCAGTAAAAATACTGGGTAGTTTGCCTCATTACTTTTATATCCAAATCCAAGTAAAGGGTCTTTGTTTAACTGTAGCAATAAACTGTAAGCTACTTTCAAATAGTTAAAATCTCAAGCAAGTCGCTTGATGGTTGGTAAAATATAAAAGCAGTGTCTACGCCAATATGAAATGCAGTGGCTCAGCTTGCATGCAAAGCTACACCAAAGGTTTGTTCTGGGTTCACTGCTCAAGGTTTGTCTGAAGTAAGGCAAACTGTGAGCCCGAGTTCAGACATAATGCTAAGACAATCACTGCCCCTTTTCAAGCTCTGAGGCTTGGGAGTGTGTATTGGTCTAAACCACTGAGCCTCTTGGGCTTGCCGGTCAGAAGGTCGGTGGTTCGAATCCCCGCGACAGGATGAGCTCCTGTTGCTCTGTCCCAGCTCCTGCCAACCTAGCAATTCAAAAGCACATCAGTACTAGTACACCCTTGTGCACGTTAATTGAAACAAACAATGTTGTTTAGTCTACAAAACTCACATATACGTACATTAGTAAAGGTAAAGGTACCCCTGCCCGTACGGGCCAGTCTTGCCAGACTCTAGGGTTGTGCGCTCATCTCACTCTATAGGCCGGGAGCCAGTGCTGTCCGGAGACACTTCCGGGTCACGTGGCCAGCGTGACATCGCTGCTCTGGCGAGCCAGAGCCGCACACGGAAACACCGTTTACCTTCCCGCTAGTAAGCGGTCCCTATTTATCTACTTGCACCCGGGGGTGCTTTCGAACTGCTAGGTTGGCAGGCGCTGGGACCGAACGACAGGAGCGCACCCCGCCGCAGGGATTCGAACCGCCGACCTTTCGATCGGCAAGCCCTAGGTGCTGAGGCTTTAACCCACAGCGCCACCTGCGTCCCATACGTACATTAGTAACTGCTATTTTTAAGCTGAATTTGAACACGGTTTGGCATGGAGTCTACTAGTTTCGAAAAGTCACTGTTGATTTTTTGATCCCTGTACCACACTTGAATCAGCGCATGAATGAGCTTCTCCATAGTTGTACAGTCTGCAGCACGGAGGCGACTTTTGCATATAGCCCACAAATTCTCAATGGGATATATGTCTGGGGAATTCCCTGGCCAATCAAGTACTGCTCTGTCATGAATTTCTTCACCACTTTTGATGTGTGACAGGGGGCTACGTCCTGCTGCAATATCCCAGTACTGTCAGGATACCTCTTTTCCAGCTCTGGAATAACTCTCTTTGGTAGAACCTAAATATATTGTGGCAAGCACATCATTCCTTCTGTTGGCTGCAGGCTTCGGACACCACAATGATCAAGTAACTTTTCCTGTTTATTTTGAGTACAGGATTACGAGTAAGACAGAAAACATTCTTTGTTTCAATTAATTTGCACAAGGGTGTAGATAAATAGGTACCACTGTGGCGGGAAGGCCTTTCTGTGTGCTCTGGCTTCCGTCACAGTGTCCCATTGCGCAAGAAGCAGTTTAGTCATGCTGGCCACATGACCTGGAAAGCTGTCTGTGAACACGCCGGCTCCCTCGGCCTGAAAGCGAGATGAGCACCACAACCCCATAGTCACCTTTGACTGGACTTAACCATCCAGGGGTCCTTTACCTTTACCTTTTTACCTTGGGCACCCAGGACCAAACTCATCTTCCTATCCTGGAGCAGGAAAGGATTGTACAGCAAAGCTCCATGCTTGCCTCTCCATGCCACAGCCCAACCTACAAAGGGTGGGGGGCAGAGGAGCTCAAAATTTGGCTTCGCTGTAACATAAGGAAAACATTCTGTACCACTAAAGAAGAGGACGCATAATATTACCCAAATTAAGATGGCATCTGAAATCCTGTGGGATATTTTCCAGGACAGGACAAAATATTTGAAACGAAATAATAAATATCTTACCTGTCTTTAACATAATCCATCCAATATTCTGTCTCTGCTTCAGAACTGGTATTTTTAATCTGTAAATCAGTAAGGTGGGGGGAGATCCACGTCAGCAGTGAGAGATTTAACATTTAACAAAATGTTTTGATTTCTATTGCATTGTAATCACAACTACTTCTAATGAACAGATTTCCACAAAAAAATCCATCCTCTGTTTTGTTTAAAATGTAGCTGCTAGTTCTATCTATAAAACTACTAAGGAAAACAAGAGACATAAGTTGTGAGAAACACTATGTGGCCGTAAATAAATCTTACATTTAAGATGCTAAGTGCTAGCTAGTCAGCCCCAATCAAAGGTGTTTATCATTTGGTGTATGTGACTAACATGGTTAACTAAATATATTCTGAGCCATGCAATATTGACCATAATATAAGAGCGTGAAGCCATGCAGATAAGCGATGAGGATTTGCCCTAGTAGTTTGTATGGAACTACCTTGCACCTCTTAAAGAAAAAGAAGAACTGGCGCGTTCTTATATAATTGGTGATACCTGGTGGCTTAGGGCCCTTGTATTTACAGGACCGCCTCTCCTGGTATGCCCCACAGAGGAACTTAAGGTCCATGAATAATCATAGTTTAGAGGTCCCGGACCCTAAGGAAGTCAGATTATCCTCCACCAAGGCCAGGGCCTTCTCAGTGATGGCTCCGACCTGGTGGAATGCTCTGTCCCATGAGACCAGGGCCCTGCAGGGCCTGTAAGACAGAGCTATTCCACCTAGCTTTCAGTCTGAACTTAGCCTGATCTTTTATTCCCCTTCCTTCCTTCCCTCCCCCTCCCCTTTTTATGAAGATTACCCGTTCTGGGATCCCACAGCTAATTCTCCCCTGGTCTCCTCGCTGGCCCAAATAGGACTAATTTAGCCATCTAGCCCTGGTGATCATCTAATGTTTATTGGATGGATTTCCCCCCTAAATTGATTTTTGAATTCTGAATTTATTGTTATTCACATTTTATTCTGTATTTTATGCTGTTTTTTGTTGCATCAATTAAGTGTTTTAAATTTGTTGTTAGCCACCCTGAGCCCGGTTTTCTGAACCAGGAAGGGCGGGGTATAAATAAAAAAAATTTATTATTATTATTATTATTATTATTATTATTATTATTATTATTACAGGGAGCTGGATTAGATGAGCCTCAGGATCCCTTCCAACTGTACAATTCTATGCTTCTACCCTATCAACCTTCCTCTATGAAAGCCTAACTGATTTCTCTAGCATCAATAATGAAACCACTTTTCTTGTTACCGAAGTTTTCCAAGTGTTGTGGGAGGGGATTATTGGCTTGTTTTTGTTTTTTATTACATATTTTGTGTTCTCATTTTGTATTTTATGTTGTGAAACACTATGGGATCTTTGGATGAAGGGCAGCATACAAATTCAATAACAGCAATAATAATAATCGTTATAGACAAAAAGAGATTTAAGTCAAATGCTTAAACATCTAACCATGCAAGCGCTAGGAAATAAACAACAAAACCAAAAGCAGAAAGCAGAAAGCCTGCCTGAAATATGATGGAAATGAATTTGTCGACACAGGATCAAAGGCAGAGCAAACAGACCCCACTGGTTAGTAAAATAAAACTTTGCACATGCTCCCCCATTTCCAAATGTATCTGCACACACACATCTTACAGAGTCACTTACTGAAATGTATCAATAGAGTTCATTTGTCGTAGTCAGTATTTATTGCTACTAAGCCACCAATTTCCAACACTGTTTATTACTCACTAGATGGATTAATTCCTTTGCAAGTTGTGCAATCGACATCTCAAAGCTGGTCCCAATGTTGTAGATTTCCCCTGGCTGCCCCTTCTTCATAACAGTAAGAAATGCTTCGACTACGTCACTGGCATAAAGAAAATTTCTTCTCTGAAGTCCTGAGCCATGAATACAGCTACAAGCAAGCAAGATAGTGCATACATTTAGCACTGCTTTTCAAACGCTATTCTAACATTCCAGCCAGGTTTGCAAAATTATAAAATGCTTACAAAGGGCAAAGCGCAAAGTATGTGATAACAAAACACAATCTCCATTCATGCTAATTCTTCACAATGGCAATAAACCTGGTGGCACGCACAGCAAGTTACAAAGAATTACGGAAAAGTGGCTATTGCAAAGCACCCTGTGTCAGACTTTGCACTACAGAGTGTGTCCTAGCAGTGTTAAAACATAACAGGTGTAAATCCATGTCAATGAGAAACTACAAGACCAAGAAAACAATTTTTCTTTACCCCAGCATTATACATTCTCTTCAGCCAAGCTTTTAAATTAGCAAAAAGCATGAAACAGTGACTCTGCTATGTCCAGCTCTACATCTATGACCTCTTGTGGTGGGACAGAGTATTAAGAAACCTATTGTTGTTGATTATAAGCAGTTGTGCATGCAGGTTTTGTCCCAGGGCAGTGCGGTCTCCAAACGTGACCCATTTTAATGTCCGGACTGGTTCTTAGTATGGGGTGTTCAATTTCAAGGGTATGTCACTGACTTAGCTTGCCATACACTTATAACGGAGGGGACGGGACCGAAAATGACCGTGATACATACCATTTTCTGTTCTGCTGCAAGCGAGAAATGAACTTTGGAATAACCTAAGAAACATTAAAAATAGGCAGCATTTGTTAATCCAGGCTACTTAAAGAGAATGATAAACCTTTCAGTTTTTTGAAATATTTGTGTGAGAACATATTTAATTCTAGCAACGGACAGTAATAATAAATAATCATTTTTAGCAGTGCCTTCTTTTTTTTTAAAAGGGAAGGGGCTGAAACCACAACCTGCTCCATCTGCTAAACAGGCAACTAAAAGCCAAAATGTTTTCAATTATGGGTTCTGCACACACAATTTTGGCTGCTGGATAGGAGCGCTGAACTGGATGGGTAGCACTTAGCTGCATGCATGGTTCCTCACCCAGCTGGGATTTACTATTTGCATGGAAGCCTATTTTCACATGCTAGAATCCCTAGCTAGATGAATGGCCAACTCTTAATATTTGACAGCATGCACATTAAAGGTAAAGGTACCCCTGCCCGTACGGGCCAGTCTTGACAGACTCTGGGGTTGTGCGCCCATCTCACTCAAGAGGCCGGGGGCCAGTGCTGTCCGCAGACACTTCCGGGTCACGTGGCCAGCGTGACAAAGCTGCATCTGGCGAGCCAGCGCAGCACACGGAACGCCATTTACCTTCCCGCTGGTAAGCGGTCCCTATTTATCTACTTGTACCCGGGGGTGCTTTCGAACTGCTAGGTTGGCAGGCGCTGGGACCGAGCAGCGGGAGTGCACTCCGCCGCGGGGATTCAAACCGCCGACCTTTCGATCGGCAAGCCCTAGGCGCTGAGGCTTTTACCCACAGCGCCGCCCGCGTCCCTAGCATGCACATTAATAAGCAGTAATTCTACAGAACAGAGACCACGTAATAAATACTTGGCAAAGTACTGTGACTTGTTAACTGAGGGCTCACAAAGGGTTTGTTTGATAAAAGAAATGCCTTCATCTCACTTACTTTTTCTGGAAACTGATGGGGTCCATAAACATTGCTGCTCCGCGTGATAACCACTGGAAACTTTAAAGGATATACTATGAGTGTGCCAGCACAAATTCAAGGAGAACAACCATAAAAAAAGCTTGCGGTGGCTTAGATTCTAACTCAGGTTCCACTGGTGAGGGACATCTCCCCTTCCTCCCACCACCCGGCTGATTTTCCCCTGTGAAATCTGCTCTAGGGTGTTGGTATATCCTCCCAAGCAACATAAGACGCATGTGAGGGGAGAGACTTCATCAGGCAAGGCCTTCTTCCATCTGCCTTGCCCCACGCGCCAGTCTCTGTTTCTCAATCTGTATTGTTTTTTTGATTATAGTTTAGAAATTATTTCTTATAATTGTTAAGAGTGGATTTCTGTTTAATTTTTTATATGCTGATATTTAATATTATTCTATACTATTGTAATGGATCATTGTACACTACTTTGTTTGATATAAGTTGCTTATTTTAAAGTTATGTTTTATTATCACATTTTTTAAATAATTTTTATTAATTTACAACAAAACAAAACATACATACTAATTTCACATCTAATTTTCACAAATTGTTTCTTTTCTGAACTTCCTTCAGCTGTTCCGTAAATCATCCATAATCATTATTTTAATTACGCATTCCCTAGTTTGTATTGTCATTGTTTATACCCTTCATTTCTTTTGCCTTTAGACAATACTTCTCAGTTTTTCACAGTGTTTTTTTAAACCCCTCTAGCGTTATCTGTCCCTCACTTATGCCTTCCAGATATTCGGCAAATTTCCCCCAGTCCTCGATGAACTTTTGGTCTCTTAAATATTATTATCACATTTTTTAATTGGATTAGATTGTCGTAAGGCGTACATTCTTTGTTTCTTCAGCTTGTAAGCCACCTTGGGTATTGTAAAATAGAAATACTGTATACAAATTAAAAGCGGAGTGAAATGAAATGAAAAAATCATGTCCTAGCCTCACAGCTCCCTCTGCAAATGAAACAAGGCCACCTGTTTGCAGGGGACCAGTAAAGATACAAACCAATGCCTTCTTCCACAAACAGAAGAAGCAGTAAGTGGTGCACTTTTCACAGCTCTGAAGAATATCAGCTAAGATCAAAATAATACACTTTTGGGATAGGACTTTGGGCCCAATTGCATGTTATATAATGTCAAGCCTGGGCTTATCACCACGTACACAAACTAAAAAAACCTTGCTCCTTGACAAGCATACCTATACAGTGGTACCTCGGGTTAAGTACTTAATTCGTTCCAGAGGTCCTTACTTAACCTGAAACTGTTCTTAACCTGAAGCACCACTTTAGCTAATGGGGTCTCCTGCTGCTGCTATGCCGCTGGAGCATGATTTCTGTTCTCATCCTGAAGCAAAGTTCTTAACCTGAAGCACTATTTCTGGGCTAGCAGAGTCTGTAACCTGAAGAGTATGTAACCTGAGGTACCACTGTATATCGTGCCACGTGGCCATCAGGCCCAGCAAGAGTAATCAGTGGTGTTCTATTTTAAAGTATTCCTTGCTTCCAATATGGAGAAGCAGAAAGGGGACTCTGGGACATGCTTCACTTCCCTTAAAGGCTGGGCTTTGGAGTCAGAGGCTAAACAGATATTGTCGAAAGAGGGAAAAGCCAGACCTTATCAGGAAACTGATACCTGTGGTGCAGCATTTCACAGAAAACCGTAAACAAGCATAGCAAGTTTAGCAGGTTACATATCAAGTTGTTAAATGTTCATTTTTTGTTGTAAGCAAGCCCACAGCAAAGATATAACTACCATATTTTATACTGGAAATCTACTATGTATTTTAAAACTCACTAGTACCAGCCTAGCAGGGGTAGCCAATATTGTGTCCTCCAGTCCTACAGCTCCCATCAGCCCCAGCCAGCATGGCCAATGGTGAGGAATGATGTGAGCTGTAGTCCCATCGTATCTGGAGGACACAACATTGGTTAGCCCATTGAACATAATGAAATTGACTTCTGACTAAACGCATATAGCTTGCGGTGGTAACTTCTTTAACTTCAGTGTGGGTCCTTGTGCATTTCTTCTGTGTCCAAAACATCTTTGGGCACATGGACCATGTTCAGAAATAATTAACAATAGTACCTAAAATATCAAGTTTCATTTCTGCTTACCTGGTATCTTTCCCAATATGACTGGACAATGCATTCAGCCGCCGCCTTAGAAGCTGCATAAGGATTTGACGGTTTTTTAGATGAGGATTCATCAAATTCCTAGAACAATTTTTTTACATGCCAGACATTCAAAGTCTTAAAAAGAATTTACATTGATTTACAAGCCAGCTTAAAATGACTCTTGTTAATGGCCAGATTCTCACATAATGCTAAACTATGGCTTATTTAACAAACCTCAAATTAACCATGAGCTGTCTGATAAAGCAGCAGAGAACAGCTTGTTCCTCCACTGTTTGGGAATTTAACACTAGCCTTGTGTCTTTGTAGCTTAGTGAGCACCTGGGGTTAAGCAACCAAACAAACTATGGTTAAGGAAAGGTACTAGATTCACACATTAAGAGCAAGTCATAGGTAAATCAAAGCAGGGTTCGTAAACCAGCAACAAATCACAAACTTTATATTCTGGTTTCTTGGTAATAAATAAACCACAGTTATGTCATTTGCTAGTGTTTTCAGGAAACAGTAATTCATGGCTTAACTAGTCTACAAACTAGACTAGTGATTGAGGATAAGCTCGAAACTAGAAACATTAAGTTACTAATGTAGCAATAATTCATAGAAACATTGTTCAGTTTAGCTAATGGTTGCACAATACTAAATTCCACATTTATATACCAACAGTAATTTTAAGATAGTTGTGTAATTGCATGCAAATTGTTACTTTAGACACCTTTCCTTTTTTGGTTTGAGTTAACACAAGTACACAGTGCAAGCTTGCCAAAAACATGTAATAATTTTTTTAAAGAACCACCACCACTTTGGAATAAACACAAAAGGCTATATATGGAGTGAAAAAATTTAAGAGTTTTTTCTCATTGCTAATAAATTTTAAAAATTTAAAAATAGTCTAGTAGCACCTTAGAGACCAACTAAGTTTGTTCTAGGTATAAGCTTTCGTGTGCATGAAGAGTATCTGAAGAAGTGTGCATGCACACGAAAGCTCATACCTAGAACAAACTTAGTTGGTCTCTAAGGTGCTACTAGACTATTTTTTATTTTTAAAGAAAATAATTTATTTTTTTTTATTTCGACTGCATCAGACTAACAAGGCCACCTACCTGAATCTTTCTCATTGCTAGTTATCTAACATTATACCCAAATAATACTTCCACTCTCTGATTAGCAGTAGTGCTAAGAAAAATCTACCCCCAGCTAAGCACATAAGGATAAAATACTAACCCACTTACCTAGAAGTAAGCCCTGCTGAATTCAATAGGGCTTACTTCTGAGTGGATGTTGGTTAGGATTGTGCTGCAAGATACCCTAGAGGGCCTGATCCTTTTCCTAGCAGATGCAGCTGAAATCATGGAAAAAGGGAGAGTGGTCCTGTCTACTTATATAGTATAAGGAAACCACCCTGCCCAAAGCGTTCTCCTAAATTCAACTCTGACTACCTTTACCAGTAATTAATATTTTACTCTTCCTCCGTGACAAGTGAGGTTTCATGTTCCATCCTCTTACTGAAAAAAAAAGTATTTACTTGCACAGCAATCCTAAAATACCAAAGTACTAACCAAAACTCTTGCATCCTTTAAAGACAGCAGAATCAAAAGCGCTTTAGGTCAAATTTGTACCAGCACATTCCTTCTGTGTAAGATTATCATTATCTTTTGGTTATTTTCAAGTGGCCGAACATTGGTGTAAATGTAAAACAATATGCTTACTAAGCTGGAAACAAGAGAGGCTCAGTTCCTAATGTTTGTGTGGTGTAGTGGTTAAGAGCGGTAGTCTGCTAATCTGGGGAACCAGGTTCGCGTCTCCGCTCCTCCACTTGCAGCTGCTGGGTGACCTTGGGCCAGTCACGCTTCCTTGAAGTCTCTCAGCCCCACTCACCTCACAGAGTGTTTGTTGTGGGGGAGGAAGGGAAAGGAGAATGTTAGCCGCTTTGAGGCTCCTTAAAGGGAGTGAAAGGCGGGATATCAAATCCAAACTCTTCTTCTTCTTCTTCTTTATTGGTTGGTCATGGGAAGTAAAGTGGTACTAGTTAAACAAAGCTAACAGTCTCCACTTACTGGTCATTACAAGATCATGGCCTGTTTAGTTCACCCAAGAGACAAACATGAAGGTAAGAGATGTAAGAAGCTCATTTAATTCAAGCTCACCTTGTTGTAGCTTCCCCCATAAACTTCATCGGTACTGACATATATGAACTTCTCCACATTAGCCTCATAAGCAGCACCAACCAGAATGCAAGTTCCATAAACGTTGACATAGTTGAATTCAAGCTTATGCCAGAAAGAAAGATCTAAGTTTTGAGACAAAATAATAAAGAGAAATGTACGTCAAGCTTGGTACCAAAAAAAGCCTGAGGCCATGATCTCTGGGGGACCTTCAGACCTACAACATGAACTTAAGTAAAAGAAAAAATGTTGTCTCCATATGCAGTATAACAAAACTACTCTTAAGACAGCAATCCTACATACAAGAAGCTGGTATAAAGCAAGCCAGTGTAAATTAAGCCATGATAAAGTTCCATCCGACCCAAACTCCACTCAGCAGCGGAGCTACTGCAGGGTGATCCCCACAGGGCCTAATAATAACAATAATAATTTTATTATTTATACCCCACCCATCTGGCTGGGTTTCCCCAGCCACTCTGAGCAGCTCCTATTAAAAACATTAATCAGGTCCATGGGTCAGATGTTTTGTGCCACTCACAGCAGCAGCAGATTAACACCTGACGTCAAAAGTTTAAGCAATGATGAATCAAGGGACACAATGGCAAAACAGTAAAACACAGCAATTTACGCACATTGTCACTAGGAGGGACAGCAGGATAGGTGTCCAGCTATGTCAGCAGTGCCAGCATAAGCAGTATCCTCTGCCCCTCGCGCAAAAACTGGAAGCTACTACTACTAGTAGTAGATTATTGTAGTGACATGCAATGCTCACCTACATGTGTTTGAGCTGCAAAATGTAGCACTATATCAAATTTCTCAGCCTCAAATAATTCTTTTACAAAACTGGGTTCACAGATATCCCCCTATAAAAGATGAAAAGTATAAAATTAGTAGTCAACATCAGGTTTGGTTATGTATACCCCCAAATTCTTCAACTACACCAAATTTTACATCTGCTGCAGAAAATTTAATATTTTCACTTCACAAAGCTCTGTGGAGGGATGCTTCAGTCAGTTCTAACTTCAGTGTACATAGTGAAATACTCAGTAACAAAGAAAAGGCAAGGCTTCCAGTTCCATGTCAGTTAACAAGACTTACGCTCAGGTAAGTTTGTACAGGATTGCAGCCTTCATACTGTAGATGGTTTTTAAAATAACAATGAATTACCGGGGGGGGGGGAGGTATAGTTTACCTGGATAAACTTGTAGTTCTGTCTCTCAGAAACTCTTTCAAGATTTTTTAAGCTTGCACAATAGTCCAGCTTAACAGCAAAAAAAGAAAATAACAAAGAAATTTTATTTCTAGAGTCAAGCCTCTGCTCCTCCATATTGTCTCTTAGAATTCTCTTCCAACCCACCTTCTCTGTATCTTGGGACTCATACAAATCAACCCTTTTAATTAAACTCAGGTGTGTCTTAGTACAAAATAAATCAAAATCATCACATCCACATTTCAATTACAAAAATGTCAAGAAAACGAATTCTTAAGACAGAGAAAAAGCATAATGAAAGCAACTATGTGTTTAATGACAGCTCCTTGGTCTGCAGAGTTAATATCTGAATAATAATAATAATAAATTTTATTTATATCCCGCCCTCCCCAGCCGAAGCCGGGCTCAGGGCGGCTAACAACAATAAAACAGTACAAAAGTACAACATAAACAACATTCTAAAATCATTCATTATAAAAATTAATTAATTCAAGGCACTAGCAACCATTGGGCCAGAGCTCCGCGAAGATTGCCGAGGGAGGGAGTCAGGCTGTGCCCTGGCCAAAGGCCTGGTGGAACAGCTCTGTCTTGCAGGCCCTGCGGAAAGATGTCAAGTCCCGCAGGGCCCTGGTCTCTTGTGACAGAGTGTTCCACCAGATCGGAGCCACAGCCGAAAAAGCCCTGGCTCTAGTTGAGGCCAGCCTAACTTCTCTGTGGCCTGGGACCTTCAAGATGTTTTTATTTGAAGACCGTAAGTTTCTCTGTGGGGCATACCAGGAGAGGCGGTCCCGTAGGTACGAGGGTCCTAGGCCATATAGGGCTTTAAAGGTTAAAACCAGCACCTTAAACCTGATCCTGTACTCCACCGGGAGCCAGTGCAGCTGGTATAGCACCGGGTGAATGTGATCTCGCAGCGAAGACCTCGTAAGGAGTCTCGCTGCAGCATTCTGCACCCGCTGGAGTTTCTGGGTCAGTCTCAAGGGCAGCCCCACGTAGAGCGAGTTACAAGAATCCAGTCTGGAGGTGACCGTCGCGTGGATCACAGTGGCTAGGTCAGGGCGAGAGAGGTAAGGAGCCAACTGCTTAGCTTGGCGGAGATGGAAAAATGCCGCCTTTGTTATAGCTGCAATCTGCGCCTCCATGGAAAGGGAGGTGTCGAAGATTACACCCAAACTCTTAACGGACGGTGCTGGCACTAATTGCGCCCCCGCAAGAGATGGGAGTTGCCCCCCCCAATCCCATATCGCCCCGTCCCAGCCACAGGACCTCTGTCTTCGAAGGATTTAGCTTCAACCGGCTCCCACGTAACCATCCAGCCACAGCTTCCAAACATCTGGTCAGTGTGTCTGGGGCCGAGTCAGGATGGCCATCCATCAACAGATAGAGTTGGGTGTCATCGGCATACTGATGACAACCCAGCCCAAAACTCCGAACAAGCTGGGCGAGGGGGCGCATAAAGATGTTGAAAAGCATCGGGGAGAGTATCGAAGATATAAAGCAGATATAAAGACTGTATTTTCATTATAAACCCTTCCAAGGAAGAGTTTAATTTTTTATTTACATGGATAAATGTGAAAGACACACAGAACTGGTCAGTGAGAAGACCAAAAGCCAGGATTACAAAAAGAAACAGTGTGGAAGTCAGTAACAGTAAGCTGTGAAGGATGATAAGGTTTTTTTCTTCAGTAATGACAATGCACTTAACTTCATCTTTTAGAATCTGTTACCGGGTAAAATATGTATCATATGAAGAAACCTTAAGTGGTATCTCTAATCTATACTCTGAGTGATCCTTCAATTTATATAAGAACAAGGAGGTATATTGAGGAGGTTTGACTGAATATTTTTATGATAGCAACAAAGCAACTGAACAGGGTTTGGATCTAGTATAACCTTAGGCCACCTTAATTTACACTAGCTCACTTTACATCAGCTTCTTCTGCATGGGATTTTTCCCTTAGAGCATGGCTATTTGGATTAAAGTGCTGCAAACATTAAAATCTCATTTACTATTGTTTATCTCCAGAGCTAAGTAAATAGAGTATTCTGTAAGAAATTGGCCTTCCGGATCAAAATTCACCATGGCAGCACATGCTTATGAGTTCCATGGCTTACTTTAAAATCAAGACCTGAAATCTTGCATGCAGTCACTGATTGCCTGTCAAGTATATGTTGGTTTGCTACTTTATGTTTATTTAAGCAAAAGAGTCTTACCTTATCAAGATTAATAATCATATAGTTTGGATGCTTCTCTACGAGGGAAACCACTACATGAGATGCACTGCAGGTTTTGAGGAAAAAACAAAAAAATCAACATATTTCAAATTCAAACTGCATTGATTTCAGATGCATTTCCAAAACAAGTACACACATGTACCAGTCCCATGCTGCTCCCTTGTTTCTGCTGCTACGGTCAGATTGCTTTTTCTGTCACTAAGACTGGCACACCGCATAAGAGTCTTGTGGCAATGTCTCATGAACTGTCTCTCAAGAAATCAGCCTGAACCGAGAAGCAAATCTCAGTGGAAAATATATTCACTTGTGGAGCTCTTAGAATATTTGTTTGTAAACTTTTTTCAGAATAATCCAAAATATTGTTTTCTTTAAGAAGCAACTGTGGTTTTCTTTAAACCATAAACATAAAAAGCTTCTAGCAAAAGCAACCTACCTACCCACCTCCAAATAGTTTGAACTTCCCACCCCTTTATTAGGGGCATCAAGAAATAAGTGACACCCTTTCCAGTCACACATACTAGGATTTCTTTATTTTTACAGTCATGGAAAACATGACATGGGTCTCATGAATGAACTTCAATGGAGAAGCAGCATAAGCCACCTTTCTCTCTTTTCAAACCCGTATTTTCTGAGAAGGAAAGCTTAAGGCCTTTAATCCCTTGTCCCAAATTCACCCCAACCCAACCCAAACTTGTAAGCAGACACAAGCGGAATCACGAATGGTAGGTAAAGCCCATATTTTCAGAGAAGGAAAGCTTAGTAGGTAAAGAAGTACCCTGCAGCTAACCAAGTAGAGGAGATATACTAAAACCTATTGCTTTCCTCTCTTTTTCTTAAGTAGCAAACACAAGCAAGTTTGTTTGTTGTAAAGAACTTCAATGGAGAAGAAGCATAAGACACCTTTCTCTCTTTCCAAGCCCATATTTTCAGAGAAGAAAAGCTTAGTAGGTAAGGAACTACCCTGCAGGAATTATACTAAAACCTATTTTTGCAAGCTTTTTTTTTGAAAAGGAAGTGGTACTCCGGTAATTTATGCAATCTAAATTTCGCAAGGCTGCTTGAAAGGCACGCTGGCAGAGAAAGCGGGCCAAAAGTTTTTGGTTTTTTAAACACACACACAACCCTAGGCACCTTTACTCAAGAGTAAGCCCACCCCATCCTATTCAATGCGCTTTTTGCTCCTTTCGCGAGGGCTTTTAGGAAGCCTGAAAGCCCCCCCCAAAAAAAAAACACCCCAACCCAACCCAGGCGGGAATTTACATGAAGCCCGCGCCGCCGGTCACCAAAATCCTCTTGGCGAAGTCCGGGGGGAGCGGGGCAGCCTCGGACCCGGACAACCCCCCAGACATTCTCCCCACAGCTGGAGAGCCTTTCCTTCCTCCCTGTCTCGCCTCCTCCTCACCGTCGACGCGTCACTTCCTCCACGGCTGGATACGTCACTTCCGCCTGCTACTGTCACCTACAGCGACCTTTGCACGTGCGCTTCTCTCTGCGTTCTGGGAACGTTGCGCAAGGGGGGGGGGCGCGTCGCGGGCATGCGCACTCGGGCGCTCCTCTCTTTCCGAAACTGGGCGTGATAAAATAAAGTTGTTTTTTTTAATAAGATATTTATTAGATTTTATCAAAGAATACACATAAATTTATGAAATAAAAAATTACAAACAATTGCAGTATTAAAAAAGAAGATAGAAATTACAGAAAAACTAAGAAAAAATACAGATAGAAAATACATACAAAAACCGAGAAAGACAGAAAAAAAAGAAAAATTTAAAAACCAATCCAATTTTCAGAGCTTGTAGGCTCATTTGCTTATTTTCTTGACTTCCTCACATCTCCCCTTATTGTATTCCCATTTATATAATTGATTCAGCAAATCCTAGCCTTCTTTCATTTATCTTAACTTCTGATCTTAACCTATTATGACAATATATTTTAATCCATTATCAATACATATTTACATATTCTTATTACTCTTATTTGCCAACGCCACTTATTTTCAATCCAACATCATTTTAACATTCATTCATTTTACAGTATTTCTGCAGATAGTCTGTGATAAAATAATGTTGTTTCCCCCAAAAAAAGTATTCATTTTTTTCTGTTATGTGGCAGCGATGTGTTTTTTTCTTCTGTCGTCGACCGCCTTGAGCTCGGCTGGCACTGTGCAAAGGCGGCATGCGTTCCTCTTCAACCAGACTTTTGAATACCCTACAGCCTTTTAAATGTTATCCGTGGGAAAGGGGGGGGAGTTTTAGTTTTGTTGTTTTGCTTTAATTATTTACCTGCGTTTTACCCTGTGTTTTATTCTGTGGACCGCCCTTGGATCTCCCATTTAATCAGTGACTCCAGGTGGCTGGGATCACATGTTCCATATATCCTCAAGTTGACGGACTGGACATTATTACACAACCACGAAGGAAATATATGAAAAGGTCAACTCTGGCAAATTATTTACTCTAATGTGGAGTGTACGTTGCCGTGAGGTCTCCTGGCACCCTTTGCAAATCTTTTTAATTCTGAAACAAAGCAGGTTAGGCAAATAGGCTAGTGGGGTTGGTTTGACTCCCTATAGTTTCAAAATTCCACTGGAAAAACGGTTGTTTCCCTGTGAAGATGGCAGTATTGAGTCAGTGGCTCATGTGCTTCTGGCTTGCACTCTTTGTAAAGATTTGAGGAGTGAAGTTATTACCCCTCTATTATTGTCGCTCGACCATTGCTTTCTTTTAGCAGATAAAGATGATCAGGTGACAGCAAAAACTTAAAGGCTTTTAGCGGGGGCAATTAGAATAAGATCTATTATTTGATTATTGATGTAAACCTGCCAAACGTATAGTTTTTACCTCTCTTCAGTACAATTTATTTTATTGCTATTGCTTAGTGGCTGATGCAAATAAAAGATTCTTCTGGTTCTGAATATAAAATAAAATACGAATATTGATTATATATTTTGTGCTTTTATCTTTTGATTTTGTTCTGTGAACCGCCCTGAAACCTCGGGGTATATAAATTCAATAAATAATCACCATAATCATCATAACTCCTGTATAAGACGTGTCCCACGGCTATGACGCCACGACCCCCTTCTGACGCCGCGTTCCCTCACCCTCTGCCCTCCCTTGGAAGTTTCCCCGCCCACCTACCCACCCAGCAACCAATCAACAGGCTCCTCAAACGCGGCCGGGTCACGCGGTTGGAGAGCTCGTTCCCTAGCAACCGCCGCCGCGCGCCGATCAAATGGGCGGCAGGCCGGAAGTATTTCCGTCTCTATCGGCTGGCCCCGCCCACCCGGCCGATCCGAAGAACGCTATTGGTTAGCTGCGCGGTCAATCCCGCTCCCGCCCGCCCACCCGTGAGGTTGTAGACGTGGTACGGGGATGAGAAAGCGGTGACTGAGGCGGCCGCTGCCGCAGCCGCCGAGGGAAGGACCATGGGGCTTCCGTGGCTCACCTGGGCCGCCCTGTGCTGCGCCGCGTGGCTCCCGGCGGCGCAGGCCAAGACGGTCCGGGGCGGCTTCTCCAGCGCGGCCGCCGGAGCTGGCCAGGCGGCGGCGCAGTTCCAGTTCCACGGTAAGCGGGGCGCTGCCCGGCCCGGAGGAGGAGCCCGCCCAGCGCCTTTTCGCAGCGCGATCCTATGCGCGCCGAGCTCGGGATCGAGCGCAGCAGGGCCTTCGGTTGGGAGGGGATGCGAGGGATCCCGTGCCAATGCCCTTTCTGATGTTTCCGCACGTTTCCACGCGTTATGCGCCCTTTTGACAAGGGTTTGCCCCGACTCCAGGGGGCTCTGATCTTGCAGCCATATATAGTGGTACCTCGGGTTGCATACTCTTCAGGTTACAGACTCCGCTAACCCAGAAATAGTACCTCGGGTTAAGAACTTTGCTTCAGGATGAGAACAGAAATCAGGCTCCGGCGGCGCAGCAGCAGCAGGAGGCCCCATTAGCTAAAGTGGTGCTTCGGGTTAAGAACAGTTTCGGGTTAAGAACGGACCTCCGGAACGAATTAAGTTCTTAACCCGAGGTACCACTGTATACCGTCACCTATATAGGTAAAGTAAAGATCTCTGGATGGTTAAGTCTATTCAGAGGTGATAATGGGGTGCAGCACTCATCTCGCCAGCATGAATAAACCGCTTCTGGCACAACAGAATACCATGACGGAAACCAGAGTGCTTGGAAACGCCATTTACCTTCCCCGCCACAGCGGTACCTATTTATCCACTTGCACTGGTGTGCTTTCGAACTGCTAGGTTGGCAGGAGCTGGGACTGAGCAACGGGAGCTCACTCCATCTCAGGGATTCGAACCTCCAGCCCTCTCATCGGCAAGCCCAAGAGGCTCAGTGGTTTAGACATTTAGTCCCACATATATAAGTTACTGTAAAGGTAAAGGGAAGTGGGTAGCGCTGTGATCTAAATCACTCAGCCTCTTGGGCTTGCCGATCAGAAGGCTGGAGGTTCAGATCCCCACCATGGGGTGAGCTCCTTTCTGCTGGTTTGGAACTATGAGATTGCCCCAGTAATTGTAGGCCCAAGGTAAGCCCTGAGTAAAGGGCGCTATAGGGGCAGAGGGCAGAGACTTAGGCTGGATCCTAAGCCTGAACTTATTAAAGGCAAAACGATCTGGATCTGGTGTAATTTTACCCTAGTTTAAGTTATACCAGCTTGCTTTATGCCAGTGTCTTTTGTATAAGGTTGCTTCCATAGAGAGATCCAGTGTGTACATGGGTGTAATTGAGTCGCTCAGCCTAGGTCTTAGCTGTCTGATTTGAGCCAACTGAAATCACTTTGCTGTATAAATAACATTCTGCAGCAGCGACAATCCAAAACTTTTTTATACCCACGTCAGAATGTCCAAAGTACCCTTCCCCAAATAAATCTAGGTTCTACAATCCTATTTTAAGATAAATATATAGCAGCCCAATGTAGAGCATTTTCGCAGTTTTGAATTTTTTGTGCCTTGATGTAAGCTGGAAAAATAATTGCAGGCTTCTTATACAACTATTTGTTGAACTAAATATTGGTAGGAAAATGAACACTTGGCAGCAGTTTGCATTAAGAGGCGATTCTGCCAGGATTAAAAGCTTTCTAGATAATATTTATCCTTTATTTCCGTCCTTATCTGTGTAATAGACTTTGACTTCTTTTTAAATATCAAGGTGATTGTGCTCTTCTGTATGTCAGAATCAACAATGTAGCAACAGCAGTTGGAAAAGAAGCCAAGCTTCACCTCTTTCAAGCCCAGGAATGGCTAAAGCTGCAAGAAAGCCACCAGGATTACAGCTGTAAAGAGAGATTGTCCAAAGCTCAGCTGATAAGTGAGTTCGAATGGGCGGTGGGTGTCATAAATCTACTGAGTCAGTTCATAGCTTATTATATGCATCAGTTGAACAATAGGTTTAGGATGAAGGAAAAACTAAGAGAAGAGTTAAGGTGTTTATAAATTTGCTCATGTAAACAAAAGGCATGGAATTGTAAGCCAAGGTACCTAGACTTAACTTCCAGGCCATGCAAGCAGTATATATTGTGCCTGATTGCAACTTAGCCTTCATACATGCACTTTCCCGTGGTTTTCCAGCCCCAGTTTTCATATTGCACATATGCAGTAGCATGCCACAGCACATCCACACAGCAACGTGTGCAGCAGTGTGTCTTGTGCAAGCACATGCAGCAGCAGGCTGAACTGTGTCATGAGCAGGCATGTGCAATAGCACATCATATAAAAATATGCACGGCAACACGTCATTGCAAGAAGCAGTTCAGCACATGCAAAATGCACGCAGCAGCATGTCATCTGCCCTTTCCTCATCCAGAAAGCAGCCTGCTCACTCTGTGACCACCATTTTTATTCTGGAAAGTATCAAAAGTGGCATGATAATTCATCGGGGGGGGGGGGGAAGCTTTGTAATTATTGAAAAAATGGCTTGCATCCTAATATAAGTTCCCAGCCCGTTATTCCACCAAAACCCCTCTCCAGGAAATCAGGAGTCTTCCTAAACAATTTTGGTTGGGATTTAGAGGGCAATTAGGAGGAGGAAGCTTTTCTACCATGAACTTGTTAGAATCCAAGCTGATATTAATTCTCCTCTCGGAGATCGCCAAACTCTCACAGGTATAGACTATCCAGGCACATCCAGCAAGTAGATTGTGATCTACCGGTAGATCACTGGACGTCTGTGGTAGATCACTGGTAGATCACTGGGTCCCCCCAAAGAAGCTCAACAAGTTTGGCTCTCCTAAAAAAGCTCAACAACTTTGACCTGAACCCTCAAAAAAGAGGTAGATCACTGCCAGTCTTTGTGAGTAGATCACAGTCTCTTGGGAGTTGGCCACCCCTGGACTATGCTCACTTCAGAAGTAGGAAACCTATGGCCCTCCAGATAAAACTGTCATCCCTGCCCTTTGACCATTCTGGCTGGGTGGGGCTGATGGGAGCTGGTCCAATAGCATCTGGAGCGCTACAGGTTTCCCATCCCTGATTTCATGCCAAGAGCTTTAGGGCAGCAATGGGGAAGGTGCCTTCCTCCAGATGTTTTGGCCTCTATCTCCCATCAGCCACAGCTAGCATGACCAACTGTCAGCGACGGTGAGAGCTGTAGTCCAAGAACATCTGGAGGACCCCAAGTTCCTCATTGCTGGCATAATGTCTGAGTTTTTAAGGTACATGGATAAGTCTGCAATCCTATATACACATACCTGGGAGCAAGTTCCTCTAAACTCAGTGGCAATTACTTCAGAGTAGATATGCATAGAATTGCATTGCACAAAGTGTCTGTTTGTTTTCTAAATATTTGCTTCTCATCTCTCTTAAACATTTTATCTCTTCAAAATACTTGTAGACTGCTCTGCTCTCTTCACAGCTGCTTTAAAACAAATTTCATCACTTAATTGTGGTTTGTCTTTGAATATCTTGAGTGTTAATATTTAGTTCATAAGTAAGCTAGCATAGAATAAGTATGCAGTGTTGTTTAGTTTCTGGGAAAATTAAGTCATTTGTATCATCCTATCTCCCCATACGCTACCATGGTCCAATTACAGACTCATTGAAAATGAAGTCAGCAATTCAGAATCTAAAGCTTAATATAACATTTGTGGAGGACAAATATTTAATCTACAAAATATTGAAGTTCCTCTTACAGCTACTATCAAAGAAGTGCTAATCATGATCATTCTTAATTTTATTGATCAAAACAAAGATGTGCAAATTATATCTCAGGACAGTATAATTATATAACTGAATTGAACAGATACTAAAAACATTATTGTAGTATCATGTGTGTATTTATATGAACAAGTCTAGTTATAATTGGATTTCTCTCCCTTTTCCTTTCGCCCAGCCTGTCCAGATTTTACCATGGACAAGTAGAGAATTGAGAATGTGGTTTGGGGCTGAAGGCATGCCGCTGAATTAACACTTGAACTAGACCAAACATTATGATCACAATCTAAGCACAGCTTTGCATTTTTATATCCCACTGATTGCAATGACTTAGTTATGCACATGCTTAACTGCCTCCTACTGAAATTAAAAGATAACTGAAACTGCTTAACATGTGAATGCATTGCACCAAATGGTTTTTAAGGGGTACAGGCGCACTAAAACATGTAACACAAATGCATCATATGGATCTGTTTTTTAAAAAGCACCTTGATGCATGTGCGTCTGGCAAAAACTGCTTGTGCATTCCTTAGACATAGCTAACCTGAAAAGTTTTCTAGCATTGTTTTATGTCCTGTAAGTCAAAGCTTTCTGAGTTTATTCAAGTCTGGTTCCTTTTGCAGTGCACCTGAACAGCACAGAACAAAATCTGACTGTGTCCCAGATTCCATATCCTGACACATGGTATGTGTTTTATGTCGACAAGTTTACCTGTGCGGTGAATTATGAGGACTCTGAATCCGAGGAAGTTCAATTTGAAATGGTGTTACTAAACCCAGATGCGGAAGGGAATCCTTTAGATCACTTTAGCGCAGGGGAATCAGGTAAGATGTTTCTTCTGGACTTTGGAGGGAATTGGTTGGGGAAGTGACAGGCAAAAATAACCCATTAAATTGTATACATACAGTAGATGTTGCTATCCAGTTATCTATAGGATGAGGGAAACATACTTGCTTGGGAAAAGTATAGGATTAGTCATATAACGATGACTTTGAAGTGTCTGATAACTTTAATTTGCCCTAATAGGTTAGTGTTCACCCACTTTTTTATTCCTTTTTTTTCCACAATCCAGGACAATTAGTTCCATTTTTGGTGCATTCTAATTGTGATGTCTCAGAAGATACAGTAACACATTAATAGAATCAACTACTTCAATTTTATTATTACATAATTAACATTAGTTGCTAATATATATGGCACTTTAGTTCTGACTGCAAACACAGTTTTAAAGAAAGTTATTTGAGGTTTATTGAATGGGCTAAGAATTTACAATGTAACAGAGATAAATGACTACTTCTTACACAACAAAAAAAAAATCCAGATAAGTATAAAAGGAAAATAAAATATATCAACTCAAAAATTCAGGGACCAGGTTTCTTTAATTCATCTTCATGTTACACACCATAGAACATGAACATCATTCATTCAGAACTGAAAATAAGTGCATTGTGGACTGGCTATGCCTTTTAAATGTTGCAGCAATGACATCTAGTGGTAAGATGAATGTTTCACACATCTGTTGCATGGCCTCTCAAATGTTGGCATAGTAAAATCTCGGTGAGTCAATTGTGTCCGCAAGTCTAAAGCAAAAGTGGAAGCTTCTTTGTTCCGTATGAAAAAGTGGTGTTTGCAGCATGTCCAGCATTATATTTGAACAGAAATGTATGTCTGCCAACAGACATAGCTGCGATCGCTATGAATATTTGCAGCAAACATGCTGCAAACATCTCTTTTTGGTATTGTGAGGAAAAATAGAGATATGAGTACATGGGAAGCACTTTTTATAGTGCAAACCTCTACATGTTTACGCAGAAGTAAACCCCATTAATGCAGTGACGCTTTCAAGCTAGGGTTCACAGAATCACACCCTTGGGAAGCAATAATGTTTTGTGTGTGAAGCGTGGCTTTGATGCTCATTCACAATGGATGTGGCATTAGCTGGGAGTGACTGACATGCATATACTACTATCCTGGCATTTACTATACTTCTGTGTGTGCTGTGCTTGAAACATTTCAGTCACTCAGTGTTTGTCAACTGCTTTAGCAAAAGACATTACAGCAGCAACAAAGAAGTCTTCGTATAAACAGATTTGTTGAGTTGAGAGCACTGTTCACAAATGCCATATCCTCAAGGCAAACGTATAATGTTTGTATTGCAAAGTCAGCTCTATTCCATGACTGCAAAGAGAAGCTACATTTACCCAAAGGCTAGATTCTTGTCACTAAGCACAGTAAGTTTCAGACACTTCTGACAAGGCGCGTGTGTTTGCATATATACTTAGTAATTTCAACAGAGACGGTAGCTGGCTTAGTAAAAATAAAGTAGGCTGCAAATTATTTGTTATTAGACAGAAACAAGAAAATCCAATATCTGTCCCCAAGGTTTGTAAGCAATATTCATAGTACCAGCATCACACTGGAAATACTGGTGTTATAGTTAACAGTTATTTTAAAATCTATTAAGTTATTTTGGTGAAGGAACAAAATATTCTTTGGTCACATCTTAATTGGTTCTTTGAAATAAATTGGTTGCAATGCTCTTGAAAGGTAGCACACGACAACGTAGGGTTAAGGCATATCAGCATAAATGTATTCCATTATGTTTTTTTGATGCAGCCTGTCCTGAGACCTGACAGACAGGTAACAAATATAATTAATGATACGATTCCAGCATTTCCAGTGTTTTTATGCTGGTATTGGGAGTATATATACGAGCGCAGTATTTACAATCTGCTGGGGCAGTAGTTGTAGATTCCTGCTTCTATTTATTAATAGAAAAAAATTTCCAGCCTTTTTTTTTAAAAAAAAAAAACCAAGCTAGCAATTATCTGTTCAAATTACTCAGTACAGTGGTACCTCGCAAGACGAAATTAATTCGTTCCGCGAGTTTTTTCTTCTTGCGAGTTTTTTGTCTTGCGAAGCACGGTTTCCCATAGGAATGCATTGAAAATCAATCAATGCGTTCCTATGGAAACCGCCTTCAGACCAGGTCCGGGGACAGTCTGTCCCCCAACCTCTTCTGAAGGCTGGGGGGGGGGGACAAGGGCTTTTCTTCCCACTGCCAGCCTTCAGAAGGCTTCGCTGCCGCCCGCCAGCATTTTAAGATCGCCCCGGGACAGCGGAGAAGTCTCCGCTGTCCCGGGAAGGCAGGTGGGGGGGAGCAAAGACTTTTGCCCCCCGCTGGCCTTCAGAAGAGGTCCAGGATCTCTTCTGAAGGCCGGCGGGGGGGCAAAATCTTTGCTTCCCCCCCCCCCGCCTGCCTTCAAAAGCCGTCGGGATAGCGGAGAAACGCGCTGCGCTTCTCCGCTATCCCGGGAAGGCAGGCGGTTGGGAGCAAAGACTTTTGCCCCCCGCCGGCCTTCAGAAGAGGTCCAGGACCTCTTCTGAAGGCCGGCGGTGGGCGAAAGTCTTTGCTCCCGACCGCCAGCATTTTAAAAGAGGTCCCTGGAGATTTCCCTATGGGCTTTCTTCTTGCGAAGCAAGCCCATAGGGAAATTCGTCTGGCGAAGCACCTCGAAAAACGGAAAACTCTTTCTTCTTGCGAGTTTTCCGTCTTGCGAGGCATTCGTCTTGCGAGGTACCACTGTATATAGGCATATATTAATAATAACCCTGCTTTGGAGCAACGTGCTGTAGGGACCACTTTCCTCCCCCCCCCCCCCCCCGTTCAATAGACTCATCTCTGCACACCAGAGATGAGTAATTTTCTGTAGTACCTTTACTGGGTGAAACCCTTTTGAGTTTCCCTTTCAGTTTTCTGTAGTTAATTTAAATTTTATCTGGTCAGGTTGCTACTGTGTTTTGTCGTTATTACATTTAGCTCTGGATTTTTTTTATTTTTTAAGGGTTGGACATTAAATATCTAAGTACAGAAATATTATGTAAGGTACTTCTTCTCTTTGCAGGCCTCCATGAGTTCTTCTTCCTGCTTGTTCTGGCATACTTCGTCGCTGCTTGCATATACGCTCAGACATTGTGGCAGACGATTAAAAAAGCAGGGCCTATGCACACTGTGTTAAAAGTTCTGTCGACTGTTCTGCTCTTACAAGCCGCTTCCGCTTTTGCTAACTACCTACATTTTTCAAGGTAAATTTATACCCTCCGCCTTTGGGCATACGAAGCTGCTATACCAAGTAACATCACTGGTCTTCCACGTCTAGTGCTGTCTGTGTCAGGGATGGGGAACTTATGACTCTCCAGATGTTGTTTGACAGTGATCATCCCTGATCATTGGTGATTCTGCCTGGCAAGTGGGTGGAGTCCAACATCTGGAGGGCTACAGGTCCCCCATCCCTGGTCTTGCTTTGGTAGTGACCTTCCCAGGTTTCAAGAAGAAATTTACACGGTCAAATTGGTCTGAATTTCTTTTATTTGGAGAAGTCGCTGCTTCAATGGCAGCTCTTGAGGCAGTTTGCTGTGGTCTCGATCGCACTGTGTGTCTGTGCTTGATCTCAGAGCTCCCACCACTCCCTCCGAAGCTTTGGGAGCTCCTAGAGAGCGTCTTTTCACACTGCTGGACCCTTAAGAATTCAAACTTTTGATTTTTTTGAGAAGGTGCTTTGCCCGTGCTCCCTTCCCATTTCCTCACAGCAGTTGGGCCGCTCAGAGTGAGAGGCCTCCATCGTCCTCCATTGCCCACAGTTCACCCAGAAGTCCTTCCTACACATGTTCCTTTGTTCCCTTCAGATTGAATCTGAAATGTTCTTTCTGCAAATCACCAGGGTGATTAGAGCAAAATACAGGGTGTTGGTCTGCCCCAGCACAGGGGAACTGCAGGTTTCGAACTCGCAGGCACACTGATACAATTACCTGAATAACTGTGCAAAGGTAGGCTACATGTATCTTAGGGCAGCTCCCTGCTTTGCACAATAAATGTTTTTGCTACATATACTGCAATACAGTGGTACCTGGAGTTAAGAACTTAATTCGTTCTGGAGGTCCGTTCTTAACCTGAAACTGTTCTTAACCTGAGGTACCACTTTAGCTAATGGGGCTTCCCGCTGCTGCTGTGCCGCCGGAGCACAATTTCTGTTCTCATCCTGAAGCTAAGTTCTTAACCCGAGGTACTATTTCTGGGTTAGTGGAGTCTGTAACCTGAAGCGTCTGTAACCCGAGGTACTACGGTATTACACTGCTGTTTCCTAGTAATTAAACATGCATGCTTCAGCTTCCTTTCAACATAAATTCAATCAAGTGCATTTTCTCACTCTCTATATATATATGTATTGCCCTTTTGCACTCCAATTAAAAAACACTTTTTAAAAAGTAAGTAAATAAAAGCTTTTAAGTTTTTGAAAGTCCTCTTCTGCTGCACTTCCACAAAAAACAACCGCCATCTTTTCAGTGTTCTGCAGGCAACATTTTGGACAGCCCCACTTGTTGCAAAACTTGTGGACCTAAAGAAAAATAGGAAATACAGTGCAGAGAAAGGCCATTATGTGCAGCAGCTAATCCAACTCAGGATGATGGGAGGTATTGGCATTGCATTTTGGGAGGCAGGAGACCTCCAGATCAACCCAATCTGCATGCCACTGTGTACTGCTAGTGTAGCCTCTTCTGTTAAGAAGTCAAATCTGCTTCACAGAAATTCATATGAGAAAAGCAGAATTCTGGAGCTTCTGTGCGGAATGCAAAATAGTTATATGCTAGTAGATTTGCCCATTTCCTTTATCATTTACAAGCTGGAGGCAAACCCAGCTGATTTTCATGTTATGTATTCTTAAAGCTTTTACAAAGTTATTTCCATTTTTTTTTTAATATCCAAAAATAGTATTAGTGGTGGTTGTGTTTTGCAATCGGTTTATGCTTTTATGATGCATATTTCTTTAGTATAGGCTAATTTATCAAGCTGGTTTTCCTTTTTAGTTACTCTAAAAATGGAGTAGGAGCACCTTTTATGGGAAGCCTTGCAGAGTGTAAGTACATGTTGCTTTCTTTGAGCGGGTCACAAATGAGGACATTGGTTTTAGGGAAGCACGTTATCTGGATGTTAATGTATCTTGTATTACATGAAATGCTGAGTCTGTTGGAAAGTCAGAGTGGTTTAAAATATTAGATAAAAAATTTAAGCCACACCTAGAAAACTGTCTTTGCACAGAGTTGCAATTCCCGGCTGCGTCTGAAGGAGCCCCTGCAGCAAATGGGGCTCTTTACCCTTATTTATTAAAAATAGTTACGCTTTTTAGAACAGTGTTAGAGTCCACTCAAGCATTCTGCTCAAAGCTAAGCCCCATGAAATCAGTAAAACTTCATTCATATAAGTCAATATAGGATTGCAGCTTAACTACAAGTTAAATCGCTTCAGCTAAACAAATTTCATTTCCCCCCTTAGGGTGTTCCAGGCAGACAGTTTCTTGTGCAAATATTCCTGTAAAGACGTGGCACAGGTTAGACCCCACTCTGTGATTTGCCACTGCTCCTTTCCTCACTTCCAGATTTTCTCTTGCTTCCTCACAAAAGAGGTGTGCATTTTCCCCAGATGTTGTAGACTCAAGTCTCCATACAGTCATGCACGCCTTCGCTGAATTTCTTGCAGCAAAAGCTAAACCTGACAGCTTTACCATTTCAAGATATGCCAACATGACTCCACCCTTACATGTGATGATTTTAATTTAATTTAATTTTTCTTGTAGCATATTGCGTAAAATCTGTTGGGTACAATTTTTACAATACTGTGCTGTTTCCTGGGGCTCTTGTACTTCCAGGAGGACTGTGCAGTGTTAATTGGAGCAGCCAATGCTTTTGTTGCGGCGAAACTTACTTAATTGCAAACCAGTGTATCTCCTGCCAGTGTCAGGGGAAAAAACACATTAAAAGCAACCCCTAAAACAGCAATTTATCATGAATTTTAGTATCTAACAAGACCATTGATCCATAAAATGAAAGCAATAATCAATGTACTGTACTATTAAATAAGACAGTATTGTAGATGATAAAAAAAAGGTTTTTAAAAAAAATTCTTACCTGCACTGATGATAGTCATTGTTTGGATGGGGGGCTTTTATCCATTTCCACAGTCGCACAACCAATCAATCAGTAGCTGATCAGGGTTCTACACAGTCACAAAAACAAATGAACCAAAAAGCCTCAAAAAAAAAAGCGCAAAATAAATGGCAGAAACAAAAGCACCAAACTTAATCTGTTCCGAAAGTCCATTTGACTTCTGAAATGTTCAAAAACCAAGGCACAACTTCTGATTGGTGCAGGTGCCCCAGAAACAATAGCCGACAACCGCATCGGACGCTCGGCTTCTGAAAAACGTTCGAAAACCAGAACACTTACTTCTGGGTTTTCAGCATTTGGGAACCCAAGGCGTTTGAGAACCAAGGTGTTTGAGAACCAAGGTACCACTGTACTGGATGCATCTGGTGATGTAGACTTTTTTTTAAAAAAAAAAAAGAAGATGCTTTTCTGGACACATACAGAACAGCTCTGGATAGATGACGTGTACAGACTCTCAAGAGGGAGGGGGAAAACATAAGCATGAAATCATGGTCCTTCATTTTGTCCCCTCTCATTTCAGAAATATTTTTATGGCATTTTCCTTCTTCCTTGTATGTTCCATATATCTGATTCTGGTTTAAGTGTTCCAAAAATACGTTTAAAAGCCATGCAAGGCTGTCCCTGCACGCTGTCCATGCTGTGGTTGCAGTGACCAGCCTTCCCTAACATCATGGCCAGTTGTTGGGGGTGATGAAGATCTTGGGTCCTGAGGTTGGGGAAATCTGGTCCAGATTATGAAAATTGCATTCCTCCACTAGAGGACATTGTGTACAGCAGAGGCTCTAAATATTGAGGGGAAAGCCACTATATACGGGAAGCGACATATTGGAACACCAATGGACAGAATTTAAATGAATTTGTTCACTGCAAGAGTGCTTGTCAGTATGCATGCAATTATCTAGGCTAGATCATCCTGCTAGTTACAGTGGTACCTCGCAAGACGAATGCCTCGCAAGACAAAAAACTCACTAGACGAAAGGGTTTTTTGTTTTTTGAGCTGCTTCGCAAGACGATTTTCCCTATGGGCTTGCTTCGCAAGACGGAAACATCTTGCAAGTTTGTTTCCTTTTTCTTAACACCGTTAATACAGTTGTGACTTGACTTCGAGGAGCAACTCATAGAACGCGGTGTGGTAGCCTTTTTTGAGGTTTTTAAAGACTTTGGTATTTTTGAAGCTTTTCCAAAACTTTCCCAACACCGTGCTTCGCAAGACGAAAAAAATCGCAAGACGACAAAACTCGCGGAACGAATTAATTTCGTCTTGCGAGGCACCACTGTATATTGAAGTGTTTACAACAATGTTAATTGACCTCTTATGTATGTTTTGCAGAAGTAAAGCCCTACAACAGGTGATTTTATACAGAGGTTTTTCTTGGTGGCGTAATTCAGACAATTCAATCATATTAATGTTCTTCCCCTTAGTGTGCGACATAATCTCTCAGGTGCAGATGCTCTATCTACTGCTCAGTTTGTGCATGGGATGGACAATAGGAAGAATGAAGAAATCTCAGAGTAAACCTCTCCAGTGGGATTCCACTCCAACATCCACAGCCATTGCAATAGCTGTCGTGGTAGCACAGGTCTGTTTTCGTGCTGGGTGTTTGATTTACTGTGGAAGTGCTTTGGGGGGGTAATTAAGAAACATTAATAAGCATATGATGTGATAATTATCCTGCATGAAGAGAAGAGGCTGTCTGTACTGATGTTCCTTTGGGAATGTTGTGAAAGGGTCTCCAACCCAAAAGACTGCAAATGTTGCTGTCGATGGTAGTGATACAGATGATTGAAAAACTCTTCAGGAGATCTCTTGCAGAGGATTTAATGTAATACCTAGCTCCTGAAAAAGTAGCAGCCCCGAGTACCTGGTTGTACATTTTCTAAATCCTCACTGATGGCTAGGTATTTCCAGGGTCACTCAAAGTCTCTCCTTTAGCTACACTGATATACTACATCAGCCCAAAGTGTGAAATGGGAAGTCCCTCGTTCAAATCTGCTCTTAATCATGAACTTCCTTTGCTGTCTTAAGCCAGAGGAAGCCAGCCTGCCCCCCTCACCCACCCAAATGTTGTTAGACTAAAATCCTCATCAGCCGCTGACCTCATGGCAAGTGGTCAGAGATGGTGGAATTTGTAGCCCAGTGTCTAGAGGGCACCATGTTTGCCGCCGCTGCCACAGGCAAACTGTTTTTCTCTTCATACCAGCATTGGCTTACTAGTTGCCAAAGTACAGTGGATACGAATTAAATTTGTTTTGGGGGTCCGCCCACAACCCGAAAAGTCCGTAGGCAGAGGCGCTGCTTCTGCGCGCGGTGAAACCCAGAAGTATACACTTCCGGGTTTGCCACGTTCGTAACCCGAAAGTTATGTATCCAGAGCGGTACGTAACTAGAGGGTTCACTGTAATTGATCTGCCACCGTCCCTCAGCAACTCTACCAAATTCAAATAAAAAATATACTTCTTGGACTATTGTCTAGAGCAGTGGTGAACAAACTCTTTTCTGTCAAGGGTTTCATACCCTTAGGGTAATCTGTGGGAGACGGCATATTGGCACCAAAGGTGGATGGAACTGCTTCTCTTTTATTTCTCTTTTTACCACCTCGTTCTCTCCCTTTAACTCCCTGGTTTTCCCTTGTTACCTGTATGAACTCAGGGTGCCATGGGATTAGGCCTTGACTTATCCACCCCTGGTCTAGAGAATGAAGACACATGTCTCCGAGCATTCATTCATTCCTTGGCCCTCTGTGCTTCATATATTGATGGGCATTCAGCAGAAAAAAACAGTTCTCACCCTCTCAGCCATATGCCTCTGAGAACCCCATTACAACATGTGGCCCTGAGCTGGTACATGTATTATATGGGCACCAGCCATGATAAGTGTTCTCTGCCATTTAATTTTTACTGTGATATCTCTCTCTCTCTCTGACACTCTCTCTCTCTCTCTCTCTCTCTCTCTCTCACACACACACACACACACACACACACACACACAAACGGGTATTTATTTTTCCATCTTATAGATGCCCCCATGTATAAGATGCCCCTTTTTTTGATATTATTTTTTAGGAAAAAAGCCTAGTCTTATACAGGGGAAAATACAGAATATTGAAAGATTATATTACTTTTTAAACAAACAAACTAAATGGGCACAGGTGAAAGGTTTCCTTCTCCAACATACTTCTAATTATTTCTAAACCAATGCTTGTTTATTTCTTCTCCCAAGGCTAAAAAGCCCACTCACAGAGTTCTCTTGGCAAGTGCCTGTCACACCTCATAGAAGCCTGCATGGTGTTGTCAACAGATGGAATCTGCCACTGAATTGGGACCCTATAATTGAGGCAAAATTATCCACATCAGTCCCAAACAGAGTATTTGAACTTTTGTCCACCCCTGACCACCTCACATCCTAAAAAGATTGTATTAAAAAACAAAATTGCTGGCTAGAATCTCAGTTTTATTGAAGAGGGCTTCAGTGAATTGTACTCTTTTTGTTCCTCCTTCCTCTCTCCCCACTGCCTAGACTAACAATGTGGGGCCATCATATATTGTTTTTATACTGTACAAAGTTATATGAAAAAAGATCCATCTGGACACTATCTTTCTTCTAATTGTGTTCCTTGTTCTTTTGCAGGGCATTTTGCTAATTTGGGAACAGTTTGAGGATACAAATCATCACAGCTACCACTCACACCAAAGTTTAGCAGGCGGGCTTCTCATTGGCTTGAGAATTTGCCTAGCTCTGTCGCTCGGCTGCGGACTTTACCAGATCATCCGAATTGAGAGAAGCACACTGAAAAGAGAATTCTATATCACCTTCACAAAAGTATGTGCATCATATAGAAACTCAATGTATTCTTCCAGAGCTCTATTGAATGCAGTGACTAGTTTGGAGGAAAATAAAACAGTGCAATCTCATATGTACTTACAAATGTTTCATTGTGTTTAATGGAGCTTATTTCCAAGTTATTGTGTACAGGATTGTAATTTGAGGCTACAATCCTATGCACACTTACATGGAAGTAAACCCCATGGAACACAGTGAGACTTCACTTCTGAGTACATACATACATACATACATACATAGGGTTTGGTTAAGCAAAGGTATGATGTTTTGCATCAAGACTCTCATAATGTTCTATGGTTTGATGCAGAAGAGCACTTGGTAAGTTACAGAACGTATTTTAACGTGTGAAATGAAAATGAAAATATGTAACTAGAGATCCGTTAATGGACAGAGTGACTTTTAGTACTGACAGATGATGATGATGATTATAACTTTCCTAAACAGGGCTGCCTTCAGGTGTCTTCTAAAAGTCAGATAGTTGTTTATGTCCTTGACATCTGATGGAAGGGCGTTCCACAGGGTGGGCACCACTACCAATAAGGCCCTCTGCCTGGTTCCCTGTAACCTCACTTCTCGCAGTGAGGGAACCACCAGAAGGCCTTTGGAGAAGGACCTCAGTGTCCAGGCTGAACGATGGAGGTGGAGATGCTCCTTAGCTGATAGTGGTCTTCCTTCTTCTTTCAGGGCTGTCTTCTGTGGTTTTTGTGTCACCCAAGTCTTGTATCCATATCTCTAATGTTAAGAGATTACCAGCGAGAGAAGGTAGGTAGCATAATAAAACTTGAGTCAGTTACCGAATGAAGGCTTAATTGTATGCAAGACTTTGGATTGTTAAACTCTTGATAAGTAATGGGAATTTCTGAATCTATTTTTCCCCCTGTAGCCCGCTTCAATCATTCCACATGAAGAAGCAACATGTATAGAGGGGAGTTGTGGGACCCCCCTCCCTTCCCCCAGCATATCAAGTTCCCCTGGCCCCACCAGTCATGTATTAGTGTGGATGCTTGAGGCAGGGAAATCTGTGCATGTAGACTTCCTCATATCTTAATTGTGCAAGTTCCAGGAAAGCCTGCAAAACGTGAATGGCGGGGCCAGAGGGAACTGCACAGTCCCTTCCTACCCGTGTTGCCCCTTCATGTGCGTAATGTATGCAGGCAGCTTTAGAATTGTGACGTTAAGAGATCCCATGAAAGACTACATGAAATTGTGTTTTAAGAGATCTGGCAATTCCCAAGGTGAACTTCTAAACTTGAATTCCTGAGTAGGTCCAGTAAATTTCAGGTGAATATTTTGTTCTTTCTACAAAGCTCTCTTCTTTGTTCTCTTTTCCTTTCATATTTCAGGTCATTACCGTAGGCGTCATCCTCTGCCAGTTGTTTTCCATGGTCCTCCTGTACCGACTCTTTGTTTCCCATAGTCTGTACTGGGAAGTGTCCTCCCTCTCTTCAGTAACACTGCCACTTACTGTAGCATCTGGACATAAAAGTCGGCATCATTTCTGAGATGCATCTGGGAGATCCGTTGACAAATGTGCAATAAAGACTTGGAAATGTGCAGCTATTTTCAGCAGTGAATCCACCACAGAGGATCTTTGGGAGAAACGAAACAATCAAAATACAGAATTACACTGCTGCAGGAGCTGAACGAGTGCAGGTATGAGGCAGATTTTCTCAAAAATCGTGACAAAGCATCTTGGATGAAGTCAAAGAAAATTCTTAACCTCGGTGTTTTCATTTAAAAACTGCCTCATCTTATGTTGGAACTAGATCCAAATTGTCATAACTACAAGCATAAATGCATCACATAGACCACTTTTGGAATTAAAATAATATATTGGTTTAAAGTTGCTTTGAAACAGTGCAAATTGTGCAGAAGTTTAAAAGGACTTGAAAATTGTAATAGATCCAGGAAACCAGTGTAAAATGTTTACAGCAAACTGTAGCACTCATTGTTTGTGTTTTTGAAAACGAAAAGAAAAAACACTTCCTTGCCTTGAGATTTGGATGCAGTTCAGATTTCAGCTTGATTACCAATTGCTTTTTACACACCATGTTTGTGACAAATGTTACAAGAGCATAAGGGTGATGGACTAACTTGAGTTCTGTTTTTTAAAAAACAAAAACCTGGCATTGTTAAGGTTATAAAAACAGCAGGCTAGCATCTCCTAAACTTGGGGGGGGGGGGTATGTGATGCAGCACTAGAATTTTAATCCTGATATAATTCATTACTCTTACATTGAGGATTCAATCATAATTAAGCCATATTCACAGATTAAATTAACAGAAGCATTTCAAATAAATGTTAGTTTCAGTCATCAACTACCCATGAATTCCTGCCCAAGGATACTTAATCAGGATTAAATTTTCTATGAATAATTGAAAAACAAAATACTCACTGGATTTGTTATAATCCATGTTGGCAGTGGGTTCTAAGTAGTTGCCATCTCCCACCCATTGTAGTAGAAGCACACTCTGAAATGATTCCTAGCATTCAGACTGCCATTGTAAATATATACTCCTATTGAAGTGCCTATTTATTGCTCAAGATTGAAATAATTTGAATGAGTTTTGCTATATAAAATAAACATTCCTGTTAAGTAATTTCTGTGCTGTTGTGTGCTATTAAATCATGCTTGCAAACTGGTGTCTCGGAGGAAATGTGAAGCTGGTTTTATAACACGCTTCAGTTTTTTTCTGAGTTCCAGACACAAGGCTGTGTTTGTACCATCATCAGAAGCCAGCCATGAAAGCTGATTGATTCACGCTTATTTACTCTTCCTACTTGCTCCAAGGCAATACTCGCACTGTGTTGAGCCAACTGCCAGAAGAAAGGAGGAGAAGGCCGTACAACACTAATGCTTCCCACTTATCCCCTTCCCCACTCTCTTTCCCCCTTCACACCAGGATTAGCAGCAGTGGGGAATACAACTATGGCAGACTTATCCTCAAAGAACTTGGTCAGGAGCGTACGGGGAGAGCGTCAGGGGAGCCTGAGGCGGCAATCCTGATACAGTACAAGCTTGAACATAATTTTAGGAATGCAGCCTTTAAAATCAGACAGTCTAGTCTTCAAAAGCACTGCTTCAGCACAAGCCTTACTAAAGGTAATAGAGCTTCCAGTTACAAACCGCTTTGAGAATCAGTCTCGGGATTTCATTTAAGTTTATAGGTGCCACATTTTTGCCTCTGACTAAGGCAAATGGCAACATGACAAAGTTGTTCATTAAATAGGTTCACTCGTTACTCTTTGTAATTCAGGACAAGAACGGCAGGTTGAGGCTGGAAAGACTGAAATCGTAGACTTTCATGCCATCAGCAGAACGACTGCAACGTTAATTTTTGCATTTTTCTGGTAGCCACATCAAAATGTTGTCGGCTTAAATTGTGTTTATCTCTGTGCTCATATTCAGAATAGGAAAGGTGGGTTTTGGCACAAACTTTTAATAATACAAGAGAACATACATCTGGGTTTCCTCCCACGCAAAATGCACACAAGGCTTGGACCAAGAGTTGTCATCTTGTGTGATAAAAGTTGCATTTGGTCAGAAAAAATGCGTGAAACTCTGATACTTCAATTCTCATATTAATTGTGCAGTGTGATTTCTGCTTTCAGTAGTCCACGTGCTGGCAAATTAGAGATTGGATTATTTTAACAGCAGGCGGTTGCTACTCGTAAAGTGGAGTCCAGGAGAGCCATTTCCGAGCTTGGGAGGAGAGGGGGTTGCGGGCTACCCCCTCCCACACACGCGGGGGCTGGCCTTTTGCCCCCGCGAGATCCAGGGAATCCCCGGGCTTGCCTTCGACCCGGCCCGCCAATCGGCGGGCTGGGGAGGCGTGGCCTAGCCTACTTAAGGCCAGGCACGCCCGGCGGACCGCCCTCTTTCCCCTTTCCAGCTGAGCGGTTTTATTCGCTCTGGGACCCGTGCCGACGAGGTTTTTGCATTTTTTCGTTGCTTTCTTTTCCTTCCCTGCTGCTTTTGTTCAGACCATTGCGCGTGCCGCCTCGCTCTGCCTGCTACCCCTCGCGCTGAAACCACTTCGGGACTCAGGTCTTGGAAGAGCTGAAATCACTAGCCAGGAGTCCCAGCGGCTTACCTTTCTCGGAGGTGCGGGAATTCAGCACAGTGGTTCGCCACAAGGCTTTAAGATCAGCGCTCCGGAGTCCCGTCGGAACAATCCGGGTCGTGGTAAAGTATCCGGGTGCTGGGGGGCTGGCTGCTTGAGACTCTGCGTACTTCTTACCTCCTTAATTGCCTCGATTGCTCACCCGGTGCTGTGAGGAGTTTCTGGTCGTCGTCCCCCTTCTCCTTTGCTTAAAGAATGTCGTGATTGGGCTTCTGATGAATGGTACACCATCAGCATGTTATCAGCATCCATCCGTCTCAAAAGTCAGTGGACTGTGCCTCTGGGTGCGAAGTCAACCCAGTGGAGAATCACAGTGCCTGCTGTGGCTGCAAAGACTCATAACTGCTGCATCCTATGTTGTTTTTGCTGCATTGGCAGCAGCACCAAAGCCACTGTCAGGGCAGACAGCAAGACCCCGCTCTCAGGCTCGCTGATGCGCTCAAAAGCAGAGCAATATGTTTGGCACCAGCTTGGCTGCAAGAGTTGACGGAAAGAGGCGTACAGGATGCCATCCAACCGTCTTAGGGACTCCACTCCAGATTTGTGTAGGGCTTACTCCTTAGCCTTTTCTTCCCCCTTTCTCACAAATGAGCATATCCGCAAGGCAGTGGAAGTTTACGATTCTCCTTCTCCTCGATGGGCTACCTTCCCAGGTTGCCTCACTTCCCTCTACAGCATGTGCAGTAACTGTCTCCACCATTGGACTTGCTCTTGGTCTTATCCACTCAATCCGCTTCACATACAGAAGAAGTCCCTAATCCACCAAGGGTTTGAGACTTCTTGGCTACCCTTGCCTGGTTTAGCTGACCAGTCGAAGCCGTTTCGCGGGCTGTGGCCACTGTTGAATGCTGACAGCTTCTAGAAGCCACAGGTAAGAGCTGAGTGCAGGGTGGGGTCCAAATGGGGGCACACTACCCCGGAAGGAGCACCACATGTCCCCCACCAGAGGTACTACCCCCCCAACACGCCATACATGCCATACAGCAGCATATAGCACCATTGTTAATTGTCCACATACACCATTTCTATTGACCAACTGATAAACAGTTGCCATGAACTGCATTGTTTTCTCCTCCCGCCCTTGTTTTTCAGAAGCTGCTGAGTTAAACAAAAGAACGTTGAGAGCTTCCTTCTCAGTATGGGCAGACAGCACTGCCCTTCATGATTGAGATGAGGAGAGGGATTATGGGAAGAGGAATAAAAGACCAGAGTTTGGTACAGAAAGGGGTGTTCATCTGTGAAAGATTCTGCTTGAACTTCTCCAGACTGGATCCTACAGCTGTACTGCCATTTAAGGAAGTTTGGTTTCCACACTAGCCAGTCATTAACTCTAATCTTTGGCTGTGGCGCTCTTCCTCTACTAACTATCTAGTTTTACCCTGTAGAAATTTGCTTCTTGGCAGTATGGCCCTTAAAAACAGTTAAGTCCCTGTGAGTGCTATGGCCTTTGGTCTTTAAAATGGGTGTGCTCTGAAGTTCTCTGTTGTTTCACGCATTGATTCAGCAGCCCATCTGTGGCGTTTGCCTCCTAGGTGGGTCATAAGGAAAGGGTTAAAATGAGTGTGATGTGATTGGCCAGTGGAAACTGATAGGAGGAGTTAGGGTTAGAGGGGGAGTTGTGTGAAAGTCAGTTGAGAGTTGGGAGTTGGAGAAGGAGGAGGGAGGAATAGTCTGGGTTGGTCGAGTTGTGAGTGAGAGGAATTGTTAGGTGGAGTCAGATAGATAGTTGGAATAATCAGTTTGAGGTTGTTAGGAAGGCATAGGACAGTTAAGGAACTAAGATTAAGAAACTGCCAAGGAAAATTAACTGAAACCATAAGCTTGTTCATGCCTAAAAATAAACTTGATTATTTGTTAACGTTAACAACTGACTGGACTCCGTGTGTACCCATGAGGAGAAACGGGTTGGTGGCAGCAAAGAAAGCAATCACAGTGGTGGCACAGGGTCAATAGACCGTCAAACGTCCAGGGGCCCTGTGTGACCGCCACACCATCCATCATTAGAATTCCTGCAATGGTGAGAGGGCAGCCTAGAGAACCAGCACAATCGTGCTTTGTGGCCCTTTGAGCAGCACCCAGTGGGCGTATTTAGAGCTGTGGAAGCCTGTGCAAACATAGCCAACATAGTTAATAATTAGAAAAGGTTCAGGATACAGAGAGGGTGCTCTCTCAGAAGCTAGTCGATCAGCACATTGTTGGATTCTAGTTCATCACTTTTTTTGTTTAAGAGTAAAACAAAATATCTTGCTATATCGTACATTAGTGGAGAGGGCATTCATTGGGTGTGTGGCTTTTTTTAAAGGTCTTATAAATAGAATGGGAATAGGGAAAAAAAATTAAGCAATCTATTGTTCTGCTAATATGCACAATATTTCAAGTGATGCTAATGTAACAGAAACTCTTGATTTTCTAAGTGAACAGGCCCTAATGGCAATAAAAGTAATCTCAGAACTGCAGGCAGCTCCTCTGACCCTTGTCTCATATTTTGTTAGATTCTATTATTAGGTTGCACCTCCCCTTAAACTGAGAATGTAAGACACCATTTAGCGGCTAAGGCACCAGGGCACCTTTTAGTTCTCTTTGCAGTTCTCCAAAAGGTATGGTCTTGAAAGATTGATGGCCATTATCAATACCCATTTTGAATCACTGATGCCCTGAGTGACCTTCTCCATGCTCTGATTCACTCTCAGCCACGCATACATCCTACTTGATTTTTATGCTTTCCCTAGTCATGCAATCACAGGCCCAGAAGGGGCCAGAATCCTAGCTTAAAAAAAATATTGGAAGAAGTTTCTAGCGCTTAAGGCAGTAAATGTGTGGGTGATGCTGGATAAAATGTTCTAATCTGAAGCAAGATTCAGAACTGGGTGGGGCAGGGGTGTGCATGCTTATGGAGTCTGCACAGCTGTTCGCTCTCCCAGTGATTGTAAAGAGAAGAATAACACTGTACGGCAATAAATGCATGCCGGTTTGCTTGTTTTACTTAATTTGTACAAAAAAATAATAAAGCACAGAGTGATTTTATTTCATTTTTTAAAATAAATACATATATCACCTTTCAAAACTAAATTTTTTTGCAAGGTTCTTTACAACTCTTATCAAAACTATACCAAACCCGGCAATTGCCCAGGATAATGTAACACAGCATAACAGAACTATTAAACCCAGACCACAAGTACCAGAACTGCAACTGGGCCACAATTTGTTTCTGACATACCAGCTTTCATGACAGCAAATTTAGTTCATTAGGTACATGAAGAGGACATAGAATCATAGAGTTGGAATAGACCACAAGGGCCATCGAGTCCAACCCCCTGCCAAGCAGGAAATACCATCAGAGCACTCCTGACATATGGTTGTCAAGCCTCTGCTTAAAGACCTCCAAAGAAGGAGACTCCACCACACTCCTTGGCAGCAAATTCCACTGTCGAACAGCTCTTACTGTCAGGAAGTTCATATCTAATGAAGTACATATACAGTGGTACTCGGGTTACAAACTTAATTAGTTATGGAGGTCCGTTCTTAACCTGAAACCTTTTTTAACCTGAGGTACCACTTTAGTTAACGGGGCCTCCCACTGCTGCCACGCAATTTCTGTTCTCATCCTGGGGCAAAGTTCTTAATCCGAGGTACTACTTCCGGGTTAGTGGAGTTTGTAAACCAAAGTGTTTGTAACCCGAGGTGTTTGAAACCTGAGGTACCACTGTAGAAGAAGATTTCTGTTTCCCTTTAATATATTATATGACTTCTCAAGGTGTGTTGTTCCTGCAACAAGTGCCCCTGCCACCCTCATCTGCATAGGGTAAATTAGTACACATAATCTAGTTTATAATTTAATTGATAACTCTTGCTAAAATGTCTGGTTCCCCCTGTTCAGATTGACTGTTCACTGCTAGATGCTCCTTTCCAAATAGCGCAGTACTTGTCCAGAATCTGTTTCAAATTCTCTCTCTCCCCGTATCCGGCACTATCCAATTTACAGTGTTAGGACTCTAGGCACAAAATTGAAAGGCTGCAAAATTGCCACTTTATCTGGCCAGCTGCATTTGCTAAGCCTCCCAGCAAAATCTCCCGCCTTAAAAAGTGTCTAGTTGTTCGAAATTAAAATAAATGCTATGTAAGTTAATAGCGTTTAAACAAGTTTAAATATATTACACAACCGATTCTGCAGCAGTTGTCCCTTTCAGCCCAACTGCCAAGTATTCTGCTGTCCACCTAAAAGCAGAGTGAAGTGGAGGCCTCCAAGTGGCTTTTTTCAGTATTTTATTATGACTTATCTTTTTTCAAATGGTATAATCTTTATAAAATACTGGAGAACCCCAGCCTTCTTTAGAGGCACGTGGGCTCCACCAGAGTTCTGTTATCAAGGCAGCATCACTGTTCTCTTGCATGATGCTGCATTCAATACCAAAACCTATATTTCGCACTCACATGGTAGATATTAAGCTCCTAGATGCAGCTGTTGATGCGTTGCACGAGTAGCCTAATTTCAGTGGTGAATTCTGTGGTCAAGTTCCATACTAGCTATTTTTTACAGAAAAACCTGTGAATAAAATCAGGCAACTCCAAAATGCTTTCATGGTGACACACTGCCCATTGTGGACATACGGTGGTACCTTGGGTTACATACGCTTCAGGTTACATGCGCTTCAGGTTACAGACTCCGCTAACCCAGAAATAGTGCTTCAGGTTAAGAACTTTGCTTCAGGATGAGAACAGAAATCATGCTTCGGTGGTGCAGCGGCAGCAGGAGGCCCCATTAGCTAAAGTGGGGCTTCAGGTTAAGAACAGTTTCAGGTTAAGTACAGACCTCCGGAACGAATTAAGTACTTAACCTTAACCTGTATTGTTCGGTGGCTATGGTATCTGGACATTTTAAGAGTGCTTATCCAGAGACAGCGGGGAGATCCTGCATAGCCCAGGCATCCTCTGTGACTTCTAGGAAGCTACTCATTTGGAAAGTATTAGTTGGTTCGTGCCTATCCCCACTTCTTGCTTATCTTTCCTCATTAAGGCTTGCATAGAAACGAGATCAACCAACGTGAGTTGATTTAATCATCGAATCCCTTTGGCATGTCAGGCCTGAACTGCATAACACTCGGCATACTGTTCTGCCCAATCATTAGTAGCAGTGGCGAAGCCTTCAGTAGGCCCAGGCTTAAGAGAGTGGGGAAACGGAGTCATCCTCAGTCTGGCAATAATTTGCGTCTAACAATTACACGTAATGAGCAATCAAGAAACGCCTGGGCAAATAAGAAGGTCCAAGATATTCCCCATCCTATTCTTGGTTCTCTAGATGGTTGTCAGCTCTACATACCAGAATGTCACTGTTGCCTTCTCCTTGTGAAAACCCTTTAAAAAAAAATTCTCTGGAACAAGAAAGGCAAGAGAAGCCATACATCAGGCATGTCCAACTCCCAAGAGACTGTGATCTACTCCCACTATATAAAAAAACTGGCTGTAATCTACCCTTTGTCATTGGAGGGAGGAGGAGCGTGCGTGGGGTGGGTGGATTGCCCAGAGTTGTTGAACTTTTGAGGGGAGGACTGCACAGAGTTTTTTAGCCTTTTCCCCCTGTAGCTTTTTGTACACGATAAGGATCCCGCAATCTACCAGGATCAGCCGGATCGCGATCTACCGGTTGGACATCCCTGCCACACATAATATAAAAATATTGCAATAGATTGTCATGTGATTTCTGGAAGTTTGTGTGTGGTGTGTGTATGTTTCTGGATGGATGAATTTTTGGACAGACAGATACATAATCCATACACTGATAGTTGTATTCAGTCCATGAACTAGGCCAGGGGTCTGCAACCTGCGGCTCCGGAGCCGCATGTGGCTCTTTTACACCTTTGCCGTGGCTCCGGGGTGGATACTAGCGAGGGGAGGAGGCACATTGTGCGCCCTGACACTCCCCACTGTGGCGGGCGCTGTACTGGCTGTGATGTCGCATGGGGGCGGTGCGTGCGTTAGTCACGCACCGTCCCGACGTCACCTTCCCGGTTTTGCGGCTCCAAGTTTTTTCCCCCTTCGGAAACGGGTCCAAGTGGCTCTTTTTGTCTTAAAGGTTGCAGACCCCTGAACTAGGCTGATTTAAAGCACTAGGCTAACCAGCCTGAATTCTACAGAGTACTAAGGAATACAAACAAAATGGTGGCAAGGTTCATTTAAGCAGCCTACTTAAATTGTGTTTTCCCACTTCAGGATAAAGTGCTGAAGAGTGTGTTTAGGCTGGTTAATGAGTATTTCACGGTACACTAAGAAAACTCACCAGGGAAAAGTCTGCAAACAGGCAGTCTCAGGAGGCCATCTATTGGCTTGTTTGATGTGGTAGGTAGAGCTGAAAGGGCAATCAGGACAGTAAGTCATTTAACAAACATTTCCTGGGCATGTGATTCACTTTAAGACAATTGAGTTATGAATTTCAATCCATACGCTGAAAACATACATTGCAGTCAAAGGTGTTTCAATATTTACAAAAGGCCTCTATTCAGTTCCCTCAACACGAACCTTTGCTTCAGGCTGAAACTTGCAAAACAACGCTCATGCATACTAGAGGGAATGTTATTATTTTTGGGGGGGGGAATGTTTTCTCTAAATTGTGAATACCTTAAATTGTGCTGTAAAAGAAATAAAGCAGCTTGGAAGCATACCAGTTTCATTTGCATTTTGGCACTGTTAAAAATTAAAATAGATTAGATTAAAAAAAGGAAAATTGGCAAGTGATTAGTCAATTACATGATTTTACTGCTTTGGGTATTTTGAAACTTTAAAAAAAAACAATTTGAAAAGATATATTTTACTTTGAAAAGTGCCTGCTGTACACACAGTGCAAACACTTTTCAGAGACACGGGAGGTTTTCTGCCGAACGTACACTGAAGGTGCTACTCAAAGCTCAAATATGTATTTGAGTGATAGGCAGCAATTGCTGCACAAGAGTAGTGGAGGTCAGTGGGTGACTTTTAAATAAACATATTCAGATAAAATGGCAGTAAGATAAGCATATGAGAGAGGCTGGATTTAATCTAAAATGCAAGGGAATTGAGAGCAGCTATGAAAAGTCTTGCGTGGGTTATTTCTACCCACAGGGTAGAAAACAGGAAATGCTGCAACTTTGGGGCTAATGAGTTTCCCATGGAATTCTAGGTACATCCAGATGCAAATAAACTTTATTTGCCTTTGGTCTGTGTGTGTTCACCAGGGCTGGTGCATCTTGCTTCACCGCCTGAGGCAAAATGGGAAGGTGCCACTGCCCCTACCAAAATCTCACTTATTGGGGTTGTGCAGTTGCGGCAGCAACTTCCAGGTTGTGGCAAGATCTTGCAAGAGTCCTGCCAGATCTTGCCACAACCCAGAAGCTGCCTTGATTTTCCCCCAGTTGTGGCAGCAGAAGGCAGGCAGGATGTCCACAGTGGCAGCAGAGAAGCAAGGAGAAGCAACGGTGGCTTCCAGCAAGATCTCACAAGAGCTCCGTGAAATTTTGCAAGAAGCCACTGCTGCTGCTTCTTGCCTCTCCATTGCTAGCGGGGACAGGCAGAGCACTGACGGTGGCACCTTCTGAGAGTTGCACCTCATAGGAGGCCCATAAGGAGTAAATGCCCTGATTTCAGATCGCGCCTGCTCCAAGAGGTTGTGGGCACTAGGGACCCAAACAGCTCTAGACTCTATACCATCACTCCAGTGACCACAGGAACAAAGGCAAGGAAGGCCCTGTACAAGAATAGGCACTGAAGATACAGTGCCCATTCAGCAACCCAAGACTTCCCTTCCCTCATCCCTACTTAGGAGGAGGAAGCAAGCACTAGTACATGTTTTGGATTTGGGCCTACTTAGAAGATCATGGCCACTGGTCCCATCACCTCCTGGCAAATAGAAGGGGAAGAAATGGAGGCAGTGAGAGATTTTACTTTCTTGGGCTCCATAATCACTGCAGATGGTGACATCAGCCACGAAATTAAAAGATGCCTGCTTCTTGGGAGAAAAGCAATGACAAACCTAGACAGCATCTTAAAAAGTAGAGGCATCACCTTGCCAACGAAGGTCCGTCTAGTTAAAGCTATGGTTTTCCCAGTAGTGATGTATGGGAGTGAGAGCTGGACCATAAAGAAGGCTGATCGCCAAAGAATTGATGCTTTTGAATTATGGTGCTGGAGGAGACTCTTGAGAGTCCCATGGACTGCAAGAAGATCAAACCTATCCATTCTTAAGGAAATCAGCCCTGAGTGCTCACTGGAAGGACAGATCCTGAAGCTGAGGCTTCAATACTTTGGCCACCTCATGAGAAGAGAAGACTCCCTGGAAAAGACCCTGATGCTGGGAAAGATGGATGGCACAAGGAGAAGGGGACGACAGAGGACAAGATGGTTGAATAGTGTTCTCAAAGCTACCAGCATGAGTTTGACCAAACTGCGGGAGGCAGTGGAAGACAGGAGTGCCTGGCATGCTCTGGTCCATGGGATCACGAAGAGTCAGACACGACTAAACGACTAAACAACAACAACAGCAACAACAGCTTCAGGAAGAGGTGCTGCTGCTGCCAAGTCTGCTATAAAATACCGGCCTGCTAGCTGTCAGTACAAAGCAATGAAGAAGGTTACCACATAGCCTACCTAACTCAGCTTTAGATTCTGCTGGACAGCTCCCCTGCAGGTCCAAGCTCAGTTCCTGATCTGGTTGCCATATGCAATATTGTCAGAAGTGAACAGCAAAGCAAGTAGAATTGAGCTGAACTCTATCATCTCTACAGAACTACAGTTTTCCTTCCTGCAAAGGAAAACAGTGTTTGACACCATCCATATAGTGTGTTGCGATGGAAATCAAAGATAGAAATGGGAAACATTTGCTAGAAAAGTGGACCTTAGACTGTGTGTTTAGGAAAGCAATGAACGGAAGTAACAACAATCTTGAAAGTTCTTATATCAATCACATATGAATGTGTCATTCACTGGAACAAGAAAGCTGCTGCTCTGATATCGAAAAATTAGAGATGTGTGTATGTGAAAATGCTAGTAATGGCAACCTGGGACTCAGCTATACAGCTGCAAATAGAACAGTTTAAATGTGTTGTAACACTAGATGGTGACAGTGAGCTATACCAAATTCAATGTATTTTTCAAAACTTTTTTCAAAGCATTTTCACAGCATTTTTACTATGTGTGTAGATTCCACCCTGCTAAAAGAACCACATTGTGCTTCTTTGTCTAAAAAAGTCACATGATGTCTCATTAACATACACAAAATGCATGTTTACTTTTTATACCATGAAGTGTACTTACTTTGGACATACTTTCACAATGAAAGAAAGGTGGGATATAAATGTAAGACAAGAAAATTATTACCATTATCATTATTCAAATTTATATCCTACACTTCCTGCCAAAGGAGCCTAGAGGAAAACCATTAAAACATCTAAAAACAATCTCAGTACAGATGCGGACTGGGAAAGGGCTCCACTTTAAAAGGCCTATTGAAAGAAGAAGGACTTCAGTAGGCACCCAAAAGACTATGGTAATGGTGCCTGTCTAATATTTTAAGATTGCGCGGGTGGTGCTGTGGGTTAAACCACAGAGCCTAGGACTTGCCGATCAGAAGGTTAGCAGTTCGAATCCCCGCGACGGGGTGAGCTCCCGTTGCTCGGTCCCTGCTCCTGTCCACCTAGCAGTTTAAAAGCACGCCAAGTGCAAGTAGATCAATAGGTACTGCTCCAGCGGGAAGGTAAACGGAGTTTCCGTGCGCTGCTCTGGTTTGCCAGAAGCGGCTTAGTCATGCTGGCCACATGACCTGGAAGCTGTACGCCAGCTCCCTCGCGAGATGAGCGCCGCAACCCCAGAGTCGGTCACGACTGGACCTAATGGTCAGGGGTCCCTTTACCTTTAATATTTTAAGAGAGGGAATTCCAAAGGGTTGGAATTATTTGCCACTGGAGCAAAAGGCTATCATGAATATCAATTGCTTGTGTCAGGCAAAAGGCATTTTCACCTACATATCTAAGGACCAATTTTAACATTACACGGAGATGATTTTTGCATCCACCAAGCTCTCTTAGCATTCTTCCTAGCAGCAAACTGTGTGAACCTCACCCACAGCAATATCTCTAACATGCATTAGAGAGCAAAGGTCTTAGGCTTCTGTCTCATATGTTACATTAGTCACATGAATGTGGTTGTTGGGAGATGTTCCACAAGTGCAAAGGTTGTCCCCGTGTAACTCCTGCATCAGTCCTAATATACAAAGAGTGTATTGCAGCGCCTACTGTATGTGCATTACCCTAGAGTAATTTCTTATTTTGGGGTCTGAAAACCAGGAAATTCTGCAGATCACGCCTGCCTTCTGCTCTTGCTTAAACCACCACAAACACCATTTAAAACTACCTTTGTATTTTTGTAAATCGGAAAGAGCCACATTTTCCAAACATGACTCTGAAGCATTTGAGGCTAAGATGTAGATAGCTCACAAAGTTGCTTTTTTAAGTGCATGTAAAAGCAGAGGAAATGGACAATAGATAAAATAAAGCATGCAATTTTCTATAATAACTGCAAACAGGTGACAGGATGCAGGATGCAATCTTATAGCAAAAGGAGCAACCCACCTTTAACCTTTGAAATCGCAGGTGTGTGGAAAATGTAAGGTTAAGATAGCATTGGAATGGGAAGGCCACAAAAACTTTAATTGTTTCAGATAAACTGCTACTACAGGGATGCTGTTTGGCCCTTACGTTGTACAAACTTATATGAATACATTTATAATATTTCAGCTACGTATGTCAGACAACAGCTATAGACAGTAACAATCAAAAGTTATAGTTTATATACTTCCTTGCTTTAGTGAGCTGATATGTTAGAGTCTTTCTGCACATTAGATGGAGGTAGCAGTAAATATTATTATTTGCTGTTTAAGTAGGGAACACATTCAATAATATGAACTCCACCTGGAGTCTGAAGTGGTATGCTCCAGTAATATACCACCACAGCTTAACAACTCTTTCTGCATAATATGTAAAATGGTTCTTCTACTGCATTTTCACAAATGATGACAGCACATGTTTCACACACTTTGTGCTGAAATACATAACCCGATATTTGAATGCAGTGTAAGAAAGCTAACTTGAAAATCAAATGTGGATTTTAGCCATTAAAGCTTTTATATTCGTTTTACAGATCTATAGTATTTAGGCTACAGTCCTACTATACTCATTTACCGGGAGTTAGTCGCATTGAACTCTGAATCTTAGTTATAGGATTGGTTAGCTGGAGAACAGGCAGTGGTCATAGTCAGTCCTGTTTCAGGAAATGGTTAACAGCTGAGAGAATGACACGATTTAATTATCCAAAGGATGCTTACTTTCAATTTATTGCCCCATTTGATAAAGTATGCTGACAAATTAGTTTATACCAATGTGTTTGATCTGAGATGTGCAGGGTAAAAACATTTGTTAAAATACATTTTTATATCTCTTCACAGGCATATGCATGTGCAGTTTATATACAACATAAGCTGTGCTTATTTCACAACATGAATGATCTCTCTCTCACACACACAAACACACACACCCTTCCTATACAATCTCCATCTTTTAACCATGCTATCACTTGCAAGTAGGAATTTGTTTATGTGCAATTTTTTGTGTGTACTTACAGTAGCACTAGAAATACCGCTAGGGGGATTGTTAAACCATTTTGTGTGTGGAAGAAAATTAAATTGAATTTCTGGAAGTAACTGTTAAGTTTGTGGGTGTTTTCCCCCCCCTCCCCTCTTCCCAGCGGTCATTAGCCAACTCCAAGCAAGCGCATCTTAAGAGCTCTCAATCGCAGCTTTTGTAAGCAAACAGCAAACTCTCTCACTCTCTCCAGTACAATCTGTCTCTGGCCAAAGTCCTTTCGTCTTTTTAATTGCATTAACGTAACCTTTGAAGTACCTGCTTTTCCTCCAGTACCTGTTCCCCAGAGCTAGCTGAGCTAGCAAGCACCAGAAAATCTTCCTGGTTTTAGTTTGGAGACTGGCAGCACCTTGGCTCAGCCTTGCTTTTCCATCTCCCATCGCTTTGATATCTGTAGGCAAAGGCCAGAGAGAAGAGTTAGACTCTCACTGTTAGGAGGTGGGGATGTGATTTATTACAAGGAGGGTGAATACGTCATAATGTCATTATTTTCTGTTTCACCAGGTGAAAGGATGCCAGATCTGGAAGGCATTGTTCACCTAAACTGAGGCGATTAAAGGAGCATCAATTTCAAAATAAAAGGGAACTCGTGGGCAACCCTCCCCATCCCTTTTTAAAAAGGATGCTTCTGTTTCAAGAATCTTTTAAATCTGAAGAGCTCTCTTTCCCATAGCTGGGGCCTATGCAACAACAATAGTTTAGTGGTAATAAGAGAAATCCACAGTGGTTTGATCTACTTTTATAAATCCGGAATATTCCCTTTGAATTCGAGAGATACCGTAGCGGTTATTTTCAGGGTCCAAACAAATAAGACAGAAAGGCCCCAAGTGGCATTAGGAAAATAGGTGGGGAGAGGCAAAAAAAGGGGGGGAGAAACTTCAAGTGAATCTTTGGGGGGGAAACCCCAAGGCATTAGGAAAAAATATGTGTTTTCCTGCCAAAGAAGGTTGTCAAATTCTTTTCTTTCTTTTTGTTGTTGTTTTTTAAATAGAAAGGCACATTAAAAGGAAAATTCTTCACAGAATCTTAAAGAACTTCTTGACACAACAGCTGCAAAATCTATTTTCTAAACAAAGATTTATACATATTTATATGAGCTTAATCCCGATTTTTTTTTTAATAAATCATTCTCAGAACTGCAGAGGTAAACTATATGTAAATACCTCAAGTAATAGGCTTGTAGTGCAAATCACATCATTTTATCTTCAATTTTGCATTCGTTTTTCTGGCTTAAAGGTGCATCAGAGATATGCATTTTAGCATATTCAGAACACGGGGCGTGAAATTAAATGTTTGACAGAGTGAGAAAAATATACAGACTTTGGAGATGCCTTAAAAATAGTAATTTATGCAGATCTAGAGAAGTGAAATCATTTGCAATGAAGTGACCCTCTCTCCAGGAATTTTTTGCTCACTGTTCTTCTCTAATCTCCTGCTGTATCTTCATTTTTCATTGAACTAGCCAGTTTGCTGCGAAGCAGTCTTGTAGATAAGGGAAGTGCTAAAAGAAGAAGAAAGAAGACGCTCACTGGGTCCGTTTCCATTGCACTTTTACCCAAGGCAATGGGCAGAATTTAACGGATTCCTTCCAACATATGTTTTTGCCAGATAAGTAAACAGTGTGTGTCGGAAATGAAAAAGCATTTGCAATTTAATGACATTACAGCTCTCAGCTTAGGCTGGCGTGCTGCGAGGCGAAAAGCAGAAAGAGAGAGGAGAGTAGAAAGAGAAAAAGAACAAAGTTCATCTTCCCTTTTGTGCATTTTTATCAAGGAAAATATTACTTCTTTTCCCCCCTCTTGTTCTCTTTTCTTTTTCTCTCTGCCTTTTTTCCCTTTTTTTTGTCTCACTCATTTCCATTTGCTTCTCCCTACCCCCCCAATAACTTCACCGTCCCCTGTTCATTTTTACCTCATGCTGCCCCCCCACCCATCGCCCCCTAACCCCCACCCACCCACTTCAAATTGTGGGGACTTTGCTCATCTGTTGGGGGCACTCGCTTTTCTTTTCAAAAAATAATAAAATAAACGAAAAACTGAGGGAAAGCTCCTTATCCAATGATGCCTATATACGTCTATCTGTCATATCCCCTTCCCTTGGTCCTGTTGTGGGTACCTCAGAGGCCCCACCAACCCTCCAGCAGCAGCAATGGAGGAAGAAGAAAGGCCCCATTTGTGTCCCCCCTTTTTCCCCCCTCAGCTCTGTCTGCTGCTGAGGAGGGAGAAGAAGGCGCGTGCATGGAACAAAATGGCGCGAAAGAAAGAGAGAGAGCCCCCTCAGGCCTTTGGGAAACTTGAACCCGCTTCGCCCTTGCAACCCTGGCTGAGGAAAAGGGGGGAAAGGCGGGGTAAACACCTCCCCTTGCAAAAGACAGGAAACGTCCTGATTTTCCTGATTAGGAAGACCAAAACTTTAATAAGGAATTGGGGGAAATTATAATTTATCTGAAAAAAATCATTGCAAACAGCTAAAATTGTTAGTAGGGTTGGAATAACACTTGTAGTTTAATGGGTCTCCTTCATGGATCCGTGGCGAAGGGGCTTGAATAACTCAGAGAAGCTTTGAGCTATGCCGTGCAGGGCCACCCAAGATGGACAGGTCATAATGGAGAGTTTGACCAAACGTAATCCACCTGGAGCAGGAACTGGTAAGCCACTCCAGTATCCCTGCCAAGAAAACTCCATGGACAAAGACGACAGGCATATAAAAGATATGACGCTGGAAGATGGAGCCCCTCAGGTCGGAAGGTGTCCAACATGCTACTGGGGAAGAGTGGAGGACAAGTACAAGTAGATTCCAGAGCTGATGAAGCGGCTGGGCCAAAGCCGAAAGGACGCTCAGTTGCGGATATGCCTGGAAGTGAAAGGAAAGTCCAATGCTGTAAAGAAAAATATTGCCTAGGAACCTGGAATGTAAGACGAGATGGTTGGACAGTGTTCTCAAAGCTACCAGCATGAGTTTGACCAAACTGTGGGAGGCAGTGGAAGACAGAAGTGCTTGGTGTGCTCTGGTCCAGGGGGTCACGAAGAGTCGGACACGACAAAACGACTAAACAACAACAATAACAACAACAGTTTAATGGTGAATTTTGGATATAATGGAGATGTAAAATCACCCTGAGACCCTGGGTATAGGGTGGTATATAAATTCCAAGAAGAAGAAGAAGAAGAAGAAGAAGAAGAAGAAGAAGAAGAAGAAGAAGAAGATGCTTTGGGTTATTATAAAAGATGCAGGTGGAAATGACTAATAATGGGACCCACAAAGGGGAGGAGGGAATTCTTTGTAATCTTGTTTTCATGTTGCATGTTGGACGTGTGATTGTAAAAACTTTCAACTGAAAAACCAAATAAATAAATTTTCCAAAGGGAAAAAAAGAGAGGGAACTTCATAGCAGGGGAGTTTTGGCGGGAAAACTCTTTTCTCCAGAGTAGGCGAGGTGGCTTTTCATGGGAAGATGGCCCCTCGCTTCACAAAGGAACACAGCCATATTGACTCCAGAGGGAGAAAAAGAGAACCCTGTCTCGATCGATCGACACTGGCTGTTGCGGGGGAAAAGGGTGTCCTTGTGAGTGTGTGAGAGAGAAACTTGAAGAAGTGGCCATTTACTATGCGTGGCTTAAGCCTGTTTGCATTTGAGAGGAAGGGCCAAGGGATGCCTCACAAAACTGTAGGGTTGGAAGGGACCCCAAGGGTTTCCCAAATTTGGGTCTCCAGCGGTTTCTGGACTACAGTTCCCACCATCCCCAGCCAACTGATCCTGCTAGCTAGGGATGGTGGGAGTCATAGTCCGGCAATAGCTGGAGACCTGAGATTGGAAAACCCTGACGTATTTTTATTTTTATTTTATTTTTATTTAATTTAATTTAATTTATTAATACTGCCCTATATCTGGAGGTCTCAGGCGGTTCACAAACAAAATCAAAATATAAAACCACAAGATATATATAATCAAAATAAAAACAGCAACCCAATAACACACACACTCCAAAAAGAACTACATTTTAAAAGGGCATAGTCCATGTAGTCCAATGCTTTGCAATGCAGGAACCTTTTGCCCAAGGTGGGGCTCGAACCCACGGCCCTGAGGTTAAAAGGGTCTCACGCTCTGCCAACCGGGCATTGTCTGGGTACAGGGAGAGATGGGAGAGCATGGGGGCATTGGCGTGAGGCGTGATGGGGTGTGAGGGTGCTTCAGTGTAACGTGGGGAGCGTCTTTGAGGAAACGGAAGAAGTGGGTGGGCCACGTATTAGGCCTTGTGGGGATGCGTTTATATCTATGGACAGAGTGAGCGGTATTTCTAGGCAAATTTCCCTGAGAAAGGTTTGAATCCCCGCTTGGCAGCGCAGCTCTCTGGGTGATGTTGGGCCCCGCATTTGCTCTCCCCCTAGCCTACCTCACAGGGTTGTTGTACAAGCAGAAGTATGTGTGCCACCTTGAGCTCCTTGGTGGGGAAGGAGTGTAAAAAATGAAATAAAATGGTAAATAAGTGTGGGGTGGGTGCTGATGGGGGTTGTTCTGGGATGATAAAGTGTGCTCCAATCCGAATGCGGGAAAAGTCTAGAAATGTGCATCTCAAGGGAGCTGTGGCCATATTCTGTGAGGGTGGATACAAAGTGTGAACGCCATGTTGGGAGGATGCTTGGGCAGATGTGGTTCTGAGGACAATGAAAGAAGATGAGAGCATTTGAATAGGGAAATTGCCATTTACTATGTCATTTGTATCCCACCCTTCCTACCAAAGGAGCCCAGGCCATGAACCGAGAGCATTCATGTTTGGTGCGAACTGTGTTGTACACATTTGTGTTTGGGGTGAAGGGGCATTGATGTATCTGGAGGAAGCAATAGGGCTTCCGTAGGGTGTATATGCAAGTTCATCTTGACCACATGCATATTTGTACTGCCAAGGAAACAAACATTTATAACTGTGCAACCCCAGGATTGTGTGGATGTGAGTTATCTTGAGAAAGAATATGAAGGATAGGGTATTTTTTATTATTATGAAGATTTACATGAGCACATTCTTGCAAGGTCTGACTATGTTTATGTCTGTATTTCCTGAAAGATGAAAGAGTAAGATTAATTATGGTATATATTAGATGCAACAGCAATTTATTCATTTACGTGTACTTATGGGTTAGTAGAGCTACCTAAATGGGAACTATCTATCATCTATCTATCTATCTATCTATCTATCTATCTATCTATCTATCATCTATCTATCTATCTATCTATCTATCATCTATCTATATCTATCTCTATCATCTATCTATCTACACACACTCCCTCTCTCTTGTGCAAGTTAATATTCCTGAACTGGATTTGTGTTTGTGTAGCTACTTGCATGTGCAAACTTTTTTACGTAGACTAAATGTGTACATACAGGAGAATTTCCTTCATATTTGTGCCTTTGCGTTTCTGAATTTATTTGAATATTCATGTTTTTATTAGAGTATATGGCACATATATGCATGCTGTGGTTGCACAGGCATATTTTCAAACCTTTTGCACCTTCCAGGACAAGAGAACATGGTGTCCTTCAAATACCATGATGCTATGCAGACCAAGGTGTTTCTATAACCTTGCTTAACCCGTATAATTCCCTATGCTCCCTGCTTTCAACTATTATGAGTAAAGCCTGGTCTGTATATTATTTTGATCACACCGTAACAGCCTCCGTAGAGTATTTTATCCAGTCTACTACCATAGCAGGGAGTACCATCTCCAGCTTAATTCTTCCCACTACTTAATTCTTCTACACAGCTCAAGTACCACAAGACTGGGCCAGATTGGCATGGACACTTCCCATGCCATAAGGAAGAACCATGTGAAAAGTTGCACTGTACTTCACAATGCCAGCAGGAGCAAGACATTATATAGATTATATTTGATGAGCTACTGCATGATAATGATGATGATGATGATGATGACGGTGCTGGCCCAGCTATAGATGCAAAGCAAGGCAATTGCTTGTTGCAAAAAAATACTGCCAGTGAAGCAATGATCTGATAGTAAACACTTTTCTCCCCCCTCCCCAAAAAGTGTGATAATTAAATTCACATTAAGAGGATTGTTTATTTTGGTGACAAAATCACACAGAGGTAGGGCACAATAGGTTACAGTATTAGGTGTGGACAGCACACACTACCAATTGTGTATAATGGAATAAATCATGAAATGAGCAGAACAAGTTAAACTGAGAAAGAGGGAGGTAGGCTGTTTGAAATTTGAAGTGTGATGCCAGATATTTTTAACCCTAATCATCTTTTGGTGCCGGTATACAAAAGTCTTCCTTAAGCCTAAGGTCAGCCTGGAGGTTGAGTATAATTGAAAGTCCCTCAAGTCAGTTAGAAACCCTATCTTATAGACACAGAGTCAAAAAGATGCTTAAAGAAAATGTTCTTGTCTAAATACTTGTGCATGTTTTACCATTAAATTACATCTTCCACATCTTCTAGATCCAGTACCTGGAAAGTAGAAAAGGAAATCAGTTTGGACATAAGGAGGTAAAGTCGCTGGAGGTGGCAATTTAATCAACCGAGGATATATTTCAATGTTGTTGTTTTTTTCTTGCCTCCTAAGCATTAGCACTTTAAATTCATTATGTCTGTTTGACAGATATATGCAGCCTTAAGGATCTAAAAATGAAATCCAAGTAGTATAGCCTGCTAGAGGACATATATTAAAGTTAAGAGATTAAAACCATTGCAAACAGAATGGAACAGCTCATTCCTTATAAGCATGAGTATTTTGCAGATGTTAAATACAGTCTGCTCTAATTGTTTTTTTAAAAAGAGCTCTGCTCAAGAGCCAAAGTTTCCTAACTTCTGATATTGATG